GAAAAGAACTTCCGTTGTGGAAAGAAGCCATGCTGAAGGAATATAACAGCCTGGTTCATGAAACGAAAGCCATTGAACCTGTTGATTTGTCAATGTTGGACCAAGAAAATGTTGAGTTTGTCCCGGAAAGTTAGTCACTGTTCGAAAAGCGGGTCCAAATGGGGGAAAGAAAAAGTGCCGCGCCGTAGTTTGTGGCAACATGCTCAGCAGCGACTTGGATCCAGCTCCAGGGAGTCTCTATGCTTCAGGGGCTGATGGAATTCTCATTCGGGCAACACTGGCTCACTCGGTCGAAATGGATTGGGGCATTGGATTGGCTGATGTTCGCACAGCATTCCTCCTTGCACCTCGACCGAAACCTGTGGAAACTCGGGAGGTTATTGTTGTGCCACCAAAAATCATGGTTGAAGCTCAGGTGTGTAAACCCACTGAAAGATGGAGGGTTCACAATGCGTTATACGGGTTTGGAACGTCACCAGCGCATTGGGCTGTCCACAGGGATAACACCATGTCGGGTTTCAAATGGGATCTCGGTGAAAAGCACTTGTACCTCCAAAAAAACCCCGAAGGGAATTTGTGGAAAATCATGCAACAGGGTTCAAATGGTTGTGTGGATGTTTGTGTTGGTCACGTTTTGGTTTATGTTGATGACATCATGGCACTTGCAAAAGATGATGTTAGGCAATCGTTTTTCGACCGCTTGCAAAAAGAATGGAAATGCAGTGATGTTGAAACGGTTGACCAGAACAATTGGGTGCGTTTTTGTGGGTTCGAACTGAAAAGGTATGGGGATGGGGTTAGCTTGATGGTTGGCCAAAAAAGCTATACCGCTGAACTGTTAAAAAGACATGATGGTGTTACCCCCAAAACATGTCCCATGCTGAAGTCCGAACATGAAGAACCCCTTGAAGAAAACCTTACCACCGAAGACATAAGGGCTGCTCAGGCGATCACGGGAGAACTCCTTTGGTTAGCAGGTAGGAGTAGACCCGACTTGTCATATGTGGTAGGTGCCATGGGTCGTCAAGTGTCAAAAAGACCAAAGTGGGTTCAAAAGGTAGGAGACCATGTCTTAGGGTTTTTGAGCACAACACAGGACACATGCCTGGTGTACCGCCCTTGCAACAAGGATCACGGTGCTTTAGGTACTCTCCAGGTACCCCGGCATGGACGTTTGCTGGAAGCCTTTGCAGACATCTCCTTCGCTCCGAATGGCGATCGAAGTCACCAAGGTATCATCATTTGCGCTGCTGGATCACCAATTCAGTGGGAAGCCTCTCGACAAGCATTTCATACCATGAGCACAGCGGAAGCTGAGTTGGTAGGTTACTGTGAAGCTGCCACTATGTTGAAATCAGTTGAGGCTCTCATGAAGGTCATTCACAGGTCATGTCCAAGTGATGGTTCGGTTGACGGTTCGCATGTTGACAACAGTTTTGAAAAAGTGGTTTATGGGGATAATTCCAGCGCTTTGAGCATCCTAATGAATCCGGATGGGGGGTGGAGAACAAGGCATTTACGTCTTAGGTCCTCATGTCTCCGAGAACTTTTAAGGGATGACCCTCAAAACTGGAAGGTTCGACACCAACGGGGAATCGACTTGCCTGCTGATATGTTGACCAAACCCATAGTGTTGCAAAGGGAATGGATCAAGTTTTGGCATTTGTTGGGTTTTCATGTTGACCCCGAAATCCCAAAATATGGTGAAGACAGCCCCAAAACAAAAACCAAAAACAAACCTGCCGTGCCGAGCCCTGCTTCAGGACTTGATAGCACTAAGGAAAAAACTGAGGAAACTGATGATGACCTCACCGTGAAGAAGGTCAAAGCACTGGTTTGCATTGCTGCGCTGTCTACGGCTGCTATGGCGAAGTGCTATGCAGCTGACCTGCGGCTGAAGTGCGCTAACCTGGTGCTGGAGCTGGCGAAGTGGCTTGTTGCTGTCTGGCATTCTCCACCTTCAAACGAAGGTTCGCCCAAAGAGGCCTGTTCAAATGAAGGGTGGGAGGTGGAAGAAACATCAAGAGCCATTGGCCAGAAGAAAGTCCAAAAAGCCAGGGGACACGAACCGGCTACAACAAATCTTCCAAGGGAAAATGAACCTGGAAGATCAACCCTGAAAAATGAAACCTCGAAATGTGTGGAAGCTCCAAGGGAAAACGAACCTGGAGACAACAATCTTGGGGAGTTTTGGGAACCCTCAAATGAAGTTTGTTGGGATCACCGTGAATACCATACCCCTCAAGAGTTTTGGGATTGTAACCCTGAAGATGAAGTTGGGGATTGCGTGGCGTGGCACTCTTGTGGACAGGCGCAACATGTTTTGGAGTCCGTTGGTTGTGACTCTCCAGTTGAAAAGCATGACGTCAGTTCACGGCCACTGTTGGCCGTTAAGGACCACTGCCCCACGGGCTGCCCCAGTCGTAGTTTGGTCAAACTCGCAGCCATGGCGCCAAAGATGTCCAAGCCGAAGCCTCCTGTGCCTCCGCAAGTGCTTGGGCCTCCAGCTGCTGCTGCCGCTGCGCCGCCTGCTGCTGTTGGGCCAAAACGAAAAGCTCCACCGCTGATGCTGCTGTGTGCATCGGCTATGGGAGATGCTGCCAGTTCTGCGGGTCGTCCAAAGCAAGACCCCTACATCGGCACTTTGCCGAAGTTCCCGCCTGCGAGAAGGGAGGCTGAAAAAGCCCAGAAAAAATCTGGGGGTACGGGGCTAGATGAAATGCCTCGACATGGACCTTGGTTGGATGAAAAATATCGCCAGCCGAATACAACTGGAAAAAAGGACTCTTGGTCCGTTGCAAAATGTGGGAATGAGATCTTCCTGGTGAAGGTCCACAGAGCGCCTCGAAAACAGCGCTTCCACCCACTGCACCGCTCAGCACCTGTTGAGGCGAAGTTTTTGACAGGTGAGAGGGTTACCAAGGCCTTTTTCCTGAACCCTGCTGATGATGGTCCGGGATTTTTGGTCTCTGACAGATGGGACAATCCCGTTGTCCGGTCCGAAGCAAAATGGACTGGGTACACTTTCCTCACCATGAGGAACGAAGCTTTGGAAGGTCTGAAAATACAGCTGGAACCGGCTGACACCGCTGATGGACCTCCGTGGCCTGCTGCTCCCCCTGCAAAGGAGGACGACATGGACGTGCACGTCGGTCTTCACAGTGAAATGCTGACTCCAAGGCGCCAAAGACCCCAAAGGGAACCTGGCCTGGTAATCGGCCGTTTGTACCTGGATGGATGCTTGGCTTCGAGTGGAACTGGGACTTTGTCAAGTGCTGAGTCTCAGGAAACAAGGCTGGTCCCTATGCATGACCCGACCAGCACCTACAACAAGACTTCAGGAACTACCTCGGTGGGATACAATCGTGGTGGTGGTGGCATCATTCGACGTGGTGTTGCCGCTCTGGAGCCGGCTTCTTCGAGCTCTGGATATGACCCACGACTCCCAAGGTCCTACTTGCCTCTGACAGAGGATTGGGATGTGCCGCTGGTAGAATGGGCTCTTGTCACTGATGACGAGGATGAAGAAGATGAAAACCTCAACAATGAGGAGGAAGAGCCTGTGCCTTGAGGATCTGGCTTCATGCTGCTGGAGCTCTACTGAGGGCCCGAGGCTTAGTTTTGAATGTTTTCCTGTGCTGCAGTGACCTGCAGGGGGGAGTGTGGTTCAGTTGATCGAGCCATAACTCCATTTGCAGTCATGTGTGGTCAAAAGACCATAAGGTTTAAAAGATGGATGGCATGCAACATGGCATGGCCACCTGCGCAAAGAATACACGCCATTGAACAAATGGCTCAAGATGCAAGCTCTTGAAAAGATAGAGCGCGTCAGCAGCTGAGAAGTTGCACCTGTGTGTGAAACCACGATTTCAAACATCTGCTTGGAATTGCACAAGGGTCCTATGATTCGGATCATCAAAAACCCTGAAGAATCCTGAGCGGCACGCGATCGAAATGTCATCATCACGGCGGCGGGCCTGACGGTAAATTCATGAAGTCAGATGAAGATGCGACATGAAAAAAAACAAAAATCCCATGACCAAAGATGGGAAGGATGACATGAAAACAAAAATCCTATAACATCCCTATTGGTGGGAAGGATGACATGAACAAAGATGGGAAGGATGACACCTATAACATGTTGAAAATTGTTGTTTGAACCACCTATAACATCCTATAACCAAAGACATGAGCCCGGAAAATCCATCATGGGATGGAAAAAAAAACATGGAAACTACCAGCCAGATTTCGAGTGGTGTTTTTTTTTTGAGCGTCTTAAAACAAAATGGGAATAGTACATGGCGTAGTGGTTCTCCAAATTCTGTTTCAAGTACGTTCCAAATGCTTCTCCGTATAGGTGCAGATTGGAAAATATGAACCCTAAACCCTAGGGAAATGATCGCATGATCGCCAGTGGGGCCACTGGATGTTTCAACCGTGTCTCAGACTGGTTCCATTCTAGAAATCTATAGAACAATATTACCCTCTGGTAATGACTAACATAGCGAACTGGAAAGATCCACCATGCTATTAATGGGAAAATCCATAATAAATGGTCATTTTCAATAGCTATGTTAAATTACCAGAGGGTATAGAATATTATAGAACATCTATCATGATTTGTGGCTGAACCATGACCTTCAGCATTCACCCAGAATGTATGCTGTTATCTAAATATAATTCGTCCTTTTAGTCCATCATTTTACGTGCATTTATATACGGAAGTTTCCTAAGCCTTTCCTAAGTCATGGTGACTTGGGGATCCTTCATTTTAGGAAACTTTTTATATGTGTCTATTTCATGGTGTATAATTCAACCAAAATCAACGGATAAGTGGATATAGGGCAAGTGATTGGGTACCCCAATTTTACTAGATGCTTAATAAGTTTAATACTAACTTTCATCCATTTCAATCTCTGGTCCCTTCTCGAGCTTCAATGGTTTGACTCATCCCCAGGTACCAGTCTCAGCGCCGCGTTGAAAAACATGATTTTGCCAACTCACTGCAACCAGAAGCTGCCAAAGCTTCGCCCGGAGCGCTTGCCTAACCAATCGCCAGGTTGAGGTGAGGGGACCAGATTTGTTTCTTGTTTTCAATATTTTTTTAATATTAAAGATGTATTAGCCATCCAAATTTAGAGGTACCTAATGACTTCACCCAGATCCAGGTGGTGATGTATTTGCCAATGTTTGGTGGCTTTATCCTTTTTTGAATCCTCATTGTTTTGTTGCTGAAATATTGGTGAGATCCCAATTTCGGCCATTGAAATCCCTGAAGTATCGCATATGACATATTTATATGTTTTGATTATATGTGTAGACTTTGCCCATGACATCTCCTTTTTTGTTGGATTAGACTCCCTATTCTTGGTCACTGCTAACTTAGTCACAAACGACACCCACACACAAGAACGCCTACGCTCTGTCAATTGTAATGACGGCAACTTTTGTCAAACCAAGCAGAAAGGTCTTATCTTATCCTGCACACCTTGCTCAACTACATGTGAAGCCGAAGGCTTGCCGCTTGGGGCAAGTACTCACAACAGGCTCTCACAACTAGCGGAATGAATCCCAAGCATTGAGCGAGCAGCCTTGCGAAAGGCATCTGTTGGAAGGAGCTTCATGCTGGCTCACCCCAACATGCTTCTCCACTTTGCCTGCGAGAGGCTTCTGTCCAGCTCGCAAACTCAAGGCATAGCGGCATAGCGCCAAGCAAGGGACTTGATCCCTGCGGCTGCCTGCAATACAGAACCTTGGTTCGGCAGGTGGCAAGCTTGGGCAGCAGGGCCTGCAACTCGTTCAGAAGTTGCTTTGCCTGGCAATGTTGGTGCAAGACAGTTCACCCAAGCTACGCACAACAACCACTGCCTCTGGGTCATAGACAGTACCACTGTAGAGAAATTGATTGCGCCAGGAGATGCTGCTTCATTGCAGCACAAGGCATATACAGTAGAGCCACCCACAGCTCGGCTCATGTTTTCTTGTTTGATCTGCCCGTTTCCGCTGCGCTGCGATCAGGCTCTTCCAATCTGGCAACAGCTGACACGCCAATTTAATCCCAAGGTTTGGCTACATGGACTCCGTTCTTCTGGCACTGGGATCCAAACAACCAAAACGGCAACAGTCACAGCCATAGCACAAGGTTGCAAAAGCCAACTTCGCACTTGACTACTTAAGGCTTGCTCATCTACAAGGTTTGCCAACCGGATCACTAGCACCGCTGGAAGACAAAACCACAGACTCCTCGGGAGCACAGAACATATCGTCTGTAACAGCCATGTGCCACTGGATAACACTTCTTTCCGAACCCGCGCGCGCCAAGTCAGCCATTCATGCGGTGCCACTGTTCCGCCCAAGCCACTTGTCGTGCAACTGCTACTTCCAGCAGAACCAGAAAAGTCCATGCCACAGTGCATGCAACAGCTGCAGAGCCACTAGTGAAACCATGGCGCGGATAGGTCAGGTGGATCAGGTCCGTTGAGTAAACACCACTCCGTTCGGTGGTACCGACGGAGTTCAGGGATCGATCCTCAGCAATGATATCCTTCGGAGAGATTGGATAAACTGATAACTTGCGATATTGGTTCATCTGTTACTGGTTGGTGGTTTATACCTACCCCTCTGAAAAATCATGGAGTTCGTCAGTTGGGATTATGACATTCCCAATATATGGAAAGTCATAAAATTCAATGGTTCCAAAGCACCAACCAGGTTAAACAATGGTCAAATCACCTACATCTCCTAGCAATGCTTGGCTAAAGCCCAATGTCCCCTTTTTTCCCAGTGACCCACATCATAAAACATATCCGGCTGAATTTTCACACCCGCATCTCTGGCTGAATTACCCGGCCGGGTAAACGTTAACAAAAACTATGGAAAGATCCACCATGTTTGATGGGTAAATCAACTATTTCTATGTGCCATTTTCAGTAGCAAACTGTAAACGTTTACCAGAGGGTATCATGCTTTACCCACCTGAAATATCCATTATGATAAAATGGCCATTTGGAGGTGCCTCTGCCCGGTCTCTACCCTTTTCCGTGAATCAGTGAGATCGCAATTCCAGATACATCAGACATCAACAATGTCCTTGGTAAAAATAGAGGGGCCGGGAGCTGGTATACCATCTATCATCAAACAAACCTGTTGTTAAAGGGGTAAACACACCCCTCTATTAATCAACCAACCAATGGGAAAAGGACATCTAAGGTGCATTGATTTCTTTAATCCTCATGGCTTCGGTGGTTCATATCCCCATGAAATATCCCCACTATAGTTGATTTATGGAATCCAAATAATCCAAATATTTTGGCTTGTTTCCCCAACTATTCATTGGTTAAATGCCGAGCGTGGCAGGTAGATCCCTATATTATTCTATATAAAATATACTTACTAATATAGCATATCTTATCATGTTATCATGTGTCACATACTATAGGTCATGTTCATATTATCATTCGTATACAGTAGTTGGTGTTTTTTTACATCACCATCTCATCACCCAATAATGTCCTTTTGGTAAAAATAGAGGGGCCGGTTTGGTATACCATCTATCATCAAACAAACCTGTTGTTAAAGGGGTTTCTTCAAACCCCTCTTTTTTCATCAACCAATGTCAACCAATGGGAAATGGACATCTATGGTTAAGTTCTTTTTTTTGAGATTAGATATATCCACATTATATCCACTAGTAGCATTTCTACATCACCATCCCATCACCTCTCATCAGCTGCTGAAAAATTTCCCAGCGATCCACCCTGTTTGCCGAAGCGAGGGAAGATGATCCGCAGGGGCTGCGAGCGATCCAGCCGTTGCCACAGGTTGCCTTTGCCTTTCCCCAGGCCTAGCGTTTCGGCGTTTCGGTGCTACACGGAGACCATTGGTAAACCTTGAAGGATCACTTTGAAATATATGAAGTACTTAAACTTATATACATGACCTTGTCTTATATGGACTTGGGTTTTTCCCATGGTTGATTGTTGGGTATTTCGCATTGAATGCAGCAGTATTTTCAAGTTCAAGCATGTTCTCTGGCAAATGTTCAAGGCGAAAATGGGTTGGACTTGCCTGAATGATGCAGCAACATGCAGCATCATCAATGGATATCAATGGCATCTTTAACGCATGATCATCCTCCTCTTCATTGACGATGTCATCATCATTGGGTTGGTTTCAGAAAAACTCTACATACAAGAAACCCTGATCGCTTTGATGGTAAAGACCATGCCTTCCTGTAGCATTTCCCTTTCGCCGATCCATTGACGGCACCATCTTATCGCGCTTGCGTTGCTGTGGACATCACTTTCTACTTGAACCCCCCTGCTCTTCTTCCACGTCTTTCGGTACCTGGTTGGTGGTTGAGCCTACCCCTCTGAAAAATATGAAAGTCAAAATGGGAGTATGATTCCCAATATACCATCTGGTTATTTAACATAGCCATGGAAAATCACCATTTTTAATAGGTAAACCATCTATTTCAATGGGCCATCTATACCATGGCTATGTTCTATAGTCATAACCAGATAGTATATGGAAAGTCATAAAAGTCATGTTCCAAAGCACCAACCAGGTACTCATTTGGGATCTCACCCCGAATCTTCGAAACAAGCGAGCTCTGACCCACTTTGTTTTCTCATGCTGAAATTCCCGGGCTCTCCAACCTGTGACAACAGGTTGAAGATTCTCGAACCCAAATAGGCCACTCCGAAGCCAAAGATTGTTTCATTTCCACCCATTTCCGGCTAGACCCCACCATCCTGCCTGTAGTGACACAGCTAGAACGTTCGTCACAATAAATCCTGACCAATTCACATATTCCAACCCCCTGGTACATGGGTTACATGGGCTATTCCTTACGATCCCTATTACTGGATTGGTGACCATCCCCCAATTCTTGATCATTGCAGAAAATACAGATGGACAGTGACAAAAAAAATCAAACCATCTTTTATTGATAGTTGAGACCATATGCCATAATTGATAGTTACTGAATGTTACTGGTTTCTTTAATTTTCTATATCAAATTCATATCATTGGCCAGTAAACATCACGGGATGTCGGGATGTCAGATCAAGTGATCAAGCAGGAAACCAAATTCCAGGGTTCCTAACCACCACGGACCGAGATCAACATGTTTCGTGATGCAAGGGGGCCCTCCAGTTATGTTTAAGTTAGTCTTTTAATTTGCTACCTATAGTTACAATATATATATATATTTGCCATAAACTATACAATGAAGGCCCCCCCAGTTATAAGTTGGTTTATAAATCCCATTGACTATAGTTATAAGTGTATCATAAAGCTATCGTGTGGGGGCCCCACATTGCAACTATTGGAGTTACAACCCAACTTACCATGTTGGGGCCCACCCAAGGTGGAATTTAAGCGAAATCATGTTCCAAAGCGGTCGTTTTTTTCGACATCCCCGGCCGTCCTGTTGCATGCAAAGAGCTGAGGTAAAACCTAGCAAGTCGTGCAGGGTTGGTTCGAACACTGAACATGACTCACTGAAGATTTCACCATCTAAAAGTGGGATCTGAACTGAACAACTAAAATGCATCAACAGTCGGAGATTATCGCACACACACACACACCTCAAGTCGGGATCAAACTAGCCATCAATAAATTGGAATGAACCAACAACACCTTTGTGATCGAACCGTACTAAATAGGGATGAGGCTACTCTGCCGACCCCGGTCGACAGCAAGGGGAGCGCGTCAGGGCAGAGGGGTTGTGAGCGCACCACAACCACAAATCACCACACCGCAACCACACCACAACCACAAATCACAACGACACCACAACAACAACAACAGCAGGTCAGGAAGAATAAATTTCGTGAGGAAGCTGGCGTTTCCCGGTTGAGGAGATGCGTTTGTGACTTTCGGCGCTGCTTGGCATGCTGTTTTCCTGGTGGGGGGATGTTTTTTCTTCTGATCAGCGTCCTTATATATATATAAGTTTTATTGGATGGGGGTTGGTTTATTCCTACCTTTTTTTTCTATATATATATATACTACATATATATATACACATGTACGTGTCAGAGGACATTTTTTCGGGACTTGTTCAATGCCGCTGGGTGCTCCTTTGCCATGGTGTTCTCCTCCATTCCGCCAAGACTTTGATTCGGTAAACTAGGATTTTGTTTGGGGATACCATGGGGATGTCTAGGGATTTATAGGGGATATCTATCATTAATATGGATAAATATGGATAATAGCCTCTGGTAATGACTAACAGTTTGCAAACTTGAAAATGGCCCAGTTATAGTTGATTTACCCATTGATAGCATAGTGATTTTCTAGTTCGCTATGTCAGTTTACCAGAGGCTACACGTTGGTTAAGAACGGAATTCCCCGTTCTTGGATTATGTCCTCACCCATATTTTTTTTGGGGTAGCTTTTCATCCACGAATTATCAACCAACAGCCCAGGGGTGGATCGCAGCTACCCACTGCAGTCGCACGTCGCATTTCCGGAGCTCCGGCCTGACTCAAACTGCCGGGAGTGAGCAACTGCTCCTGCGCATATTGCTGAGGAATGCTCTCCAACAGCCCCACATAGTCCTGCCAATCGTGCAACGATCACCAAACGATCCAACGATCCACGGGATTTTTCTGGCGCAGAAAGTCATGGCGGTTTTAAGTTGGACAGTTTTTTGGACACTGAAAAACAGCAGTTTTATGAACCAAGATATGGGGAAACCTAGTTTTATGGGTCCAAGATGGGTCCAAGCAATCCTCAATTGAATGATGCTTTGTCGAAAGGCTGTTGATTTGGAATGTGCTAGCGACCGGACAGCGTCCTTAAGGTACTCGATGAAAGATGTGCTCTGCCGAGTGAGGTTTGTCAAATCAAAGTCACCACCTGAGACGGTGAGTAAGTAGAAACCAGAAATCTGCATTTGCATCACAGTGAGCAAGTCGTTCATTCCCATGTGCATATGTATATATACATATATATTATATTATGTCTATATATATATGTGTATACACACGTATGCATATATCTATGTGTATATATATAATTATATATGTGATATGTATCTGTATAATATATATATAAGTGTATGTGTATAATTGTGTATATATATATATATACAGTATATGAATATGGTATAACTGCAGCTTTTTGCGGACTTGGCAACCCGAATTAGCACGCCCAGACAAGGGACGGGGAGCAGAACCACACCAGAGTTCTCCAAAGGCTGCTGCGCTTTCAGTCTGGCGGATGGAGTTTCTGGCATGAGATTAGTACAGTTTGGGCCCTTCTAGTTATAAGTAATATATATATATATATGTATACGTATACATATATATATATATAAAGTATGGATATATTTGCCATAAATATGAAGTAGATGGTTTGTAAGCCCCATGATGTGTAGATATATCAAATGATATAGATCATGATACATCTACTGTAAAGATCTATAAACATCTATAAACCCAAGTGATTGGAGGGGACTTTGTAGGCCAATCATGGCCAAAAAAACCAATACCTTGCCAGAAAACTTGAAAACTTAGCTGGTGAATGCTGGTTTAAATGGTTATTAATGGTGATTAAATGATGGTTTTAAATGGTTACTAATGGTTTAAAATTGTTATTAATGGTTTTTAATGGTGATTAATTAATGGTTTTTAATGCTTATAATATCTTGATGAATGCTGGTTATTATACGTTTCATCTATAAAAACTCAAGCCAGTTACTCAACTAAGAGTTAACTCAGAGATCGGATAAGATATACATGCATATTGGGATAATATATCGGATTCCAGTGTTTTTCTGTGGTTTTTCAAACTCCTGAAAAAAAAAACATGGTATTGCATGGTATTGCATGGTATTGCAGATCATCTTGGGGCCAGCCCATAACACGCTTGGAATTTGACCTAGCCAGAAAAGGAATGACCTAGGACCTATAGCTTTGATGGCTAATTACTATTAATTACTCATATTTCACCGTCATTTCTGACACTTCTCCTCTAGCGAGGGATCAGGCTGTGGCTGTCATCACTGCACTTCGCTTTCGAGGAAGAAACTGCAAGAAACTGTCACGGATACCCTCTGGTGATCCAGCTTGGCAATTGGACATCCATTTTGGATTCGTTTTTCGGAAACTCATCTGCATTTCACAATGAATTGATCATCTGCAAAACCTTTCTGGAAAGTGACTGGAAAGTGAATCATCCCGTCATCCCTGTCATCCCATCTCCCTGTTGAGACCACACCCTCTTCGTACAGTAAATGGTCCTATTTAATGGTGGTTTAATGGTGGTTTAATGGGATTTAGTGGGATTTACTGGTAATTTCATGGGATTTTTCCTCTGGTAGACGTTTACATAACGAACTGAAAAAAATCCACTATGCTATTATAGCTGGGTAAATCAACGAACTTTCGACTGGGCCATTTTCAAGTTTGCAAACTGTAAACGTTTACCAGAGGGTAAATCCCATTAAATTACCAGTAAATCGCACTAAATCCCATTAAACCACCATTAAACCACCATTAAACCACCAGTAAACCACCATTTTTTCACCATGGCGAAGCCATCGCCGCCTCCTGCACTCGCAGACACGTGAGGGCGCCCTGATGCGAAACGGATCCCAAAAAAAAGAAGTGCAAGGCCAAGGGGTGCAAATGGGCGATTGATATCGTTGTTTAATGACATTGGTAGTGATTAATGGTCATTAATAGTGATTGATAGTGATTAATGGTGATAAATAGTAGAGTGTTTAATGAAAATTCTGAATAGCATTACTGGTTGGTGGTATACCTACCCCTCTGAAAAATATATAAAAATATGAGTTCGTCAGTTGGGGTTACTATTCCCAATATGAAAAGTCATAAATAAAAAAAATGTTCCAAACCACCAAGCAGATTAGGTGTACAATGATATTTATCTGCCCCCTTTGCGGCTATCATTTATGGGATGGAAGCAACCCTGACGGTTGGCTTGGCAAAGCGTTTTCTATATAGTGGGCTATGACCATAAGTCAAATTATGATGGCAACATACCTGGGCCGATTAAACTTTTATTAAACCCAACCCTTGGTGAAACAACCAGGAGCTTTGAGTGTCCATGAGGCCTGAAACTTCCTCATCCTTCACTGAACCAAACTAAGGATAACTCAAGAGAGTTTTACTGTACTCATCTGAAGTCAAGATTTCAAAAAATCACTCACAAAACCGCCCATGTTGGAGTGGTGTTTTCGTACCAACCATCATTCACCATCGCCGAGCGGTCATTTCACAGCATCAGCTTGGCGGGTACTTGGTAGTTCGATGATATTTTCAATGGATTGGTTTAAGGGAAAATTGGAACCGGAAAGCCCCATAATGGGAAAATCTACGGTTTCCATTAATCCATGAAATTTAGAAATCCATTACCAAATCTGGTAATCCATTAATTTACAGGAAAGCCCCATAATGGGAAAATCTATGGTTTCCTGTAGATTTTCCCCAACAAAACCAATCCATTGATATTTACCAAAATCTTCCAAATCTCCAATTGTTTTACCGTTCTTTTTGGTTTCTTTACAGATACCCTCTAGTTATGATGAGCAGTTCGCCATGGAAGCCAGCCATGGCCCTAATCGAAAGTTCGATGGTTTACCGAACTTAATAGCATGGTGGATCTTTCCATGGCGAACTGGCAATGTCATAACCAGATGGTATATGTCCCATTATATCCCCTATAAATCCCCATAAATCCCATTAAATCACCATAAATCACCATTAAATCCCAACAGTCATAACCAGATGGTACACAATTTCTGGCCCAGGACTTTGTCTAAAAATAGGATGCCCATAAATCCACGGGTGAAACTCCCTATGTTTCCCTATTGAAATTTTGGCGCCTTAAATTCCACACTGATTTCAGACACACCCAGTGACATCAGATCCGTGGTGTATCCCCTATCTTCCCATGATTCCTATGAATTCTTGGTTACACCCACTTGATCACTTGCTATTGAAAAAAAACAGATTTCTGGATTTTCACAACGCACCTCACGCGAAGAAGCGATGGGTATCCACCCTGTGCTCGCTATGCTCTGAGCCTTCGGAACGCGCGGGCCGAAAGGCTCGAATCTCAGTTAGTAAGTGGCTTACAAACCCAGTTGCAAGTATGGTAATTAAGTAGAGTTAGTCCAGGTATGATTGGGGTTATAACCCACTTGCTAACTGGGTAGTTCGCCACCAAGTAGCAATTCGTCAATTTTGCGTTTTTTCTGAAGTTCGTTTGTTCCATTTTGAAAAAGGACTTGATATACAGTCAATGAAGTTAAAATGAATAAATGAACAAGCATGAACGTTGAAAAAGGAATTAATGAACATTGTGAACATGAGAAAAATGATGGGAGATCAGCCTGTCTCAAGCATGTTGCATCTCTGGATCAAGTCGTTGAGTAGCCAGTAGCCTGTATTGCTTAGTGACTGGACACGCGGCTTATGACTTCAAACGACTACCCATTTGGAGGCCCAAGTTACCTGCGAAAAATCATCCCCAAACCCACTGGCTGCCCTCCAAGCCAGTAGAACAAATACTAATTCATCATCCTGAATAACAATACATCTGTTAGATAAATCATTGTCCGCATTGCCCAATCAAACCACCTTAGAAGAGAGTCCCAAAATAAGGTCTACCAGGAATGGTACCCCTAGGTAAGTCGGTGGGTTTTTAAAACTATCTAACCGCTGATATATCTATGTATGTATATATATATATATGTATATCTAAATATCTATATGTTTATATTATATATATAGTATACAGTATAGTTATTTATTTAACTTTTATTTGGTCAATTATATTGTTTATAACACACTTGCATTACAACCCCCAAGCCACCCCTGCCTTTTGTAGCATCTCCTCTGCACAGAGCAGGCGCGCCACTCGGAAGGCCAAGGCCCCCGGCTGTGCTTCGGCAAACCAAAAGGCCTGGAAAACGTGGATTTGCTGAAGGAAAATCTAAAAAAAAACATGGGACAATATAGGAAAATCTAAGAAAAATATACGAAAACTATAGGAAAAAGTCAGAAAATCACATGATTAGCCCATACTTTCTCTTGATTTAACCAACAATAGTGAGCCCTGACCTGATCATATCCAAGCTATTTGTTTCAACATATTAAGGGTCGTATAACATGGAAAAATTGGGTACTGAATAGAAATGCATTTTGATGGCAGTTGATATGGGATTAACCATGGAGGAGGTGAATGTTTATGATACGTATAGTATATAAGTTGAATCATGATTTATTTATATATATATATACACATATACATATATATATATACATATATATATATATACATATATATATATATATACATATATACATATACATTATAATGAGATATGCTTTCTTGAAAATGGGGTTGGAAAATCCAATATATTACAATGTTCTCAAAAAAAATAAAACGCTGGCTGTTTTTTCTGACCCTGTCTCTGTCTTTCCCAGTAAGTCAGATGAAACTGTTTCAATTCGCATTCCCTGGTACTTCAACAAAGCTATTGAAATTGGTCCATTCAATCATATATCATAGATAATTACAGAATAGAGAGTCTTATAGATGAGTTGCCTACTATTTCAATCTATTCTGGTTGGTGGTTGACCTACCCCTCTGAAAAATCATGGACTTCGTCAGTTGGGATGATGACATTCCCAATATATGGAAAGTCATAAAATTCCATGGTTCCAAATCACCAACCAGAATATATATATATATATTATCATATATCATATATCCCATCAAATATCCCTACTATGGTTGGCTATAAATCCATATAAATCCCATGTATTGTGGAAAGTCATAAAAATCCATGGTTCCAAACCACCAACCAGTATTTCAATGGTGATATTGGTTTTGGCACACAGTTGATCACCTGAGAGTCACAAAAAACCCAAACAACGACCTCCACTTCGAAACCATCACACCATCGTAAAAACTCGGCAAAGTCCTGCAGGGGTGCAGAGGGAAATTGTACCAGGGAAATTGTGCATTTCGCATGATTTTGCTTCAAAACGAGGTTGATTCGCAATTCATAAAGCCCCAGTCTATGAAGTCTCGGGGTTGTTTGTATGGGTATTGCACCAATTGGTTGTCAATCACACTTTGGGGTTGCACTCTAATAATGAATCGACCAGAGTTTACTCATCTGGGATTGCCACTACGGAACATCCAAAGAACAATAGAACAACTTCGGGTTATGTCAAGACTTCAAGCGCAACGTTTCTTTCATGTGCAGCGCAAATTGCTCGAATCTTCCAAATTGCCAAACTACATTAGTCTGACCACATCTGAATCTTCAAAATTACCACATCCAAATTGCCAAACAAATTACCACATCTGACCACGTTTGTCTTTGCTGGAAAACATGGGATGGTCAATTTCGCAGGTGTCGAAATGTCCTGACGTTTTTTCTCTTACCCTCTGGTTATTTAAAGTAGCTATAGAGAATCACCATTTTTAAGTTCGGTAAACCATCTATTTCTATGGGCCATGGTTTCCATGGCTATGTTAAATAACCAGAGGGCCTTAACATCTTTAACTTCATCTTACCATTCCTAAGATGTTAGCTGGTCAACTTCAAACGTCAAAACCCTCAAGAAATCCCCCAAAATCCCAAGTGTCCCAATAAATCCATATTCATCAAAATCCATTTAAAAAATCCATAGAAATTCAACCAGAAACCTACAAATCCCTTGAAAATCACATAAAAATCATAGGAATCCCCCAAAAAAATCCACCCAAAATCCACCCCAAAAAGCGAGATTTCTCAATCTCCCTTCCCGCCTCTGGCAACGGCGCCTCTAGGCGCTGCTCCAAGCGATGCAGTTTCGCCTCATTGAGACGCTGACGCTGTCGCAAGGCCAGAGAAACCGCGGGGGACCAGAGCTGCCAGAAGCCTCGGCGAAGGCGAAGAATCTTAAATGGATTTTGATGAATATGGATTTGTTGGGACACTTGGGATTTTGGGGGGATTTTTTGAGGATTTTGACGTTTGAAGTTGACCAGCTAACATCTTAGGAATGGTAAGATGAAGTTAAAGATGTTAAGGCCCTCTGGTTATGACTAACATAGCCATGGAAACCATGGCCCATAGAAATAGATGGTTTACCAAACTTAAAAATGGTGATTCTCTATAGCTATGTTAAATAACCAGATGGTACTATTCATTGACATTCTATTACAATCCTATTATTACTACATCCTGAGAATAGTATCAACATTTAATATTAATGTTCTATAATACTACATAACTAGAGTATACTATCCTGATATATCCTGATATAGTATTATGATAGTAATATAATAGTAATATCAAATAGTATTCCATGGTATTAAAATAGTAAATAATATAGGATAATGATAGTATAATAGTATTAGAATGATAGGGATGTAGTACACTATAAATATATATATATATGCTACAAGGATATTATTGTGATAATGGGGATATTAATAGTGGTATATATGTGGATATTAAGAAATAAAATAGTATTATAATATATATATATATACATTGGTATCATTGTTATTTAATGATTAGAATAATGATTATAATTATGATTATAGGGATGTATTACTATAATTATAAAGGTAGTAAAATAACAGTAGGATAATGATAATAGGGATGCGAATGATAATGATGTAAATAGTAGTATTGAAATACAACAATGCAGATAATGATAATAGTGCTATTGATACATCATGGTATGATTACAAAAACGATCAAAGGGATTGTATTATAACAGTGAAAATGATAATGATAACAGTATTATATAAAAAAAAGATGGTATTGATGATAACAGTTTTATCAATGGTACTGTAATATAAACATGACTATAAGACTAATGACAGTAATAGAATGATATTATACAATGATGAGTTATATATATATTATATGTATCATTATATATTTAAAAAAAAAACATAATATGATACACTAATTGTCTGCTAGTCGTTAATGATAGTAGTGACAGCTCTGGTAGTTAATTTATCAAAAGTTATTGTCATTGGTAGTAATTAAGTGTTATTAAGAGCTAGCAGTAGTAGTATATTATCATTAGTTAACCAGAAATCATGCATTATACTAATGATAATAGTGGTATTCTTAATAGATCTATTATACTAGCACTAAGTGCTATTCAATAATGATAGTAAATGTGTATATAATAATGGTTAGTAGATGTTTTGATGATAGTATACCGACAGTATGATAGAATGTGTATCAGTTGTTAATACTTAATTTTCTATTATTAGTTAGATAACAAATGCTATGAGAATATTACGAAACTGTGAATTTATGCGTTATTGATACAATGATTGGGAATGGTGATATATATATATATATATTTAATAAATGGTACGGTATAATGATAGTACAATAATGGTTAGTAGTTGTTATAATGATAGTACACTAAAAGTTATGACAATGATAGCTAATCTGAACGAATTGCAGCGAGATGCTTTAATACTTTAATGATACTTTAACTAGTGAGAATAATAGTAATTTATAGTTAAGAGTTAAGAAAGCAATTAGTCGATGTTTTTGAATGATAGTAGTTGTTAATACGACTGAATGATCATCAATTATTTGTTGTCATTATTAGTTGGGAATTCTATAAGTATCATCCGTAGTAGTACTTACACTAGTTAATCATTATAAGTCAAGAATAAGAATAATTTATTGATGAATGGCAAAACAATGTACAATCAAATTAACTATTGACTAATGGTATCATAATGCTGCTTTGCTAGAGTCGATAATAAGTAATAGCGAAAAGTAGCTAACTAGTTACCAATGGTGATGCTTAATGCTACTGAACTACAATAACAATATCAATAATACATAGTTAAGATAGAAAGTTATAATAAGTTAGAAATTAAGGATGACTAATACTTCATGATTAATGGTGAAATAAGTAGTTTACTTAGATTTTATGATGATCATACGAATAGTTTAAACTAATGGTGAAATACTCAAAGGAAGAATAACAGTAGATATAGGTACTTAATGTTATGAACTTTTAATATACTATGAGAATATTAGAAAATAGTAATGTTATTGTTATAGTGTACCATAGGAAAGTTCATATTAGGAATTATTTAAAATTGAAATTATCATAGTACTAGTGATGATGTTACTAATAGGATCACAAGAATAATGATTCTAATAATGCTGAAGTATTACTTGTATACTTATAGAATGGTCAAGCATTACTAAATATCACTAATTTTCAATAATAACAATAATGATTCCAGGATACGTGGATACGTTTAGTGATACGTTTAACGCAGCTAGTAGTGATCACTCATAGACCAGCATTGCGTAATATTCATAATGCTCAGGTAATAGTGACACTATGTGACACGAAAATTTGATACCTTCACTAAGCTATTTTCAAACCTGGGTCAATTATGTTATATTTCACTCACCCAGTATATCTTGCATTATCAAACGCGGCCATTTTTAAGGGGATGATGTCCCTCAAAAACCCCATGGGATTTCCAGGCGGATTTCACGACATGATCATCTGAGTCCATCAGAGCCGCTGATTTCAGCGGAGAATGGATTGGTTTAAGGGAAAATCCACAGGAAACCATAGATTTTCCCATGAAGATCATGGGGCTTTCCGGTTCCAATTTTCCCAAAAAAAACAATCCATTGATAAACACAGTTCTAAACAATATCTAATTCGGTTGAGATTTGAATAGAATCAATATTTATTAATATTCTTAGTTGTATATATATATATGTATATATGTACATATACATATACAATAATAATATACATAATAATATATATATATGGTAATATGGTGTGGTTAAAACAATGTCATAAACTACCCTCCGGTAAACTAACAGTTTGCTATTGAAAATGGCCATAGAAAGATTTGATTTTCCCGGCTAGAAAATGGTGATTTTCCAGAGTGATGTTAGTTTACCAGAGGGTACCCATTTGGGAATGGTTTATACCACCTATTTAAATGGTGGTGACTGGGGGATGGTTTATGGCATTGTTTTAACCACATTAATTATGAAGTATTGATTTTTAAATTCTACTACAATTCTACTTAATAATTATACTTAATAGATAGTTGAGAATCACTAGTCGCTTTGAAATAGTTGATCATCAAAAAAAGCAAAACCTCAGATGTTGACTGGATTAACCATGATGAACTCATGCGGAGCATAACAGAATATATACGAGTATATAATATATATATAGAGATATCACCACTGGATTTTGAAAGTCACCATTTTTTGGGGTTTGACTGAGTTTTTTTCGGTACTTCTAACTCCATTGGTTAGTCATCGAAAAATCCCCATTCAATGGCCATCTGTCGAAGGTATACCCCATTTTCAGAGAGACCCATGGCCGTTCATACAAAGCCTATGGCCTATCTCCCCATTTGTTCAATGGGAATTTCAGGATCCAATACATGGAGTTACGTTAGTACCATATTTTTGGCAATATATTGGGGGGATATTCCCTGAAATTTAGGCCTGAAAAATCGGCCTTATAGATGGAATCGGTACCTCCAATCAATCGGTTCCTGAGTCATGGCCCTTGACAATATCTCACACTAGTATTTGGTTGAATCCTATCATTTCCATTATAAAATCCCATGCTATGATTATTTCCCATGATGATACAGTGGATGGAAGAAATCCTGCACCACCAAACGGATGTTTGAAACCCTATAAATAATGGGATGTTTACCATCTATCAACTGGTGCAGGATTTCGCAACCATCCACAGTACGTACCATCAAATTGTTTGTTATATTCCATTATTGGTTGATGGGTCATCTCCACTGCTCCAACACATCCGCGTTTCGCCACGCTGCCTGCGATGCGCCTCAACAATTGTAGCACCTGCGACAAACGCGCGTTCAGTTTATGGTTGGTAGTTGTGGATGTTACCCTCTGCTACACTAACATACCCAGTAGCTATGGAAAATCACCATATCTAAGTTCGGTAAACCATCTATTTCTATGAGCCATCTATACCATGGCTATGTCTGTTAGTCATCACCAGGTTGGGTAAATGCCAATTGTGCCGACCATTAAACCACCATTAAATCACCAGTAAATACTTATGTCAGTCATTACCAGCTACACGTGCCATGGTCAAGTTACATGCTCAAGTTCTCAGCGACCTGGTCATCCATCTGTGGGGAATCCAAGACCCCAGTCACTACTCGATGGCCCCGGAAATGTGGCAGGCGCCCCTAAGTATTTCGGGGAATAGCCTCTGGTCAAACATGGAAAGTGCTGGAAAATCCATGAAAATCCACCATGTTGATGATACCCCTGACTATTGGATCTGACTTGTGAGCTGATTGAGTGTATTGTGCAACACCCGTGACGGATCCATGGTGCTGCTATATATATGGTAACATGGATCCCATCCATATACCCCAGTCATGTTAGCATATATATATATATACCAGCACCATGGATCCGTCATGGGATACTTCAAAAAATTGCTATATCTTTGACGAAGATCTTCCCATGAAAACAACAAACCTTCGATTTCTGCACTGATCCCCTGCCGTGAAAACCCCACGCACGGAGACACGGGGGCCTGCCGCCTTACTTTGAAAGCTGGCCGGTAGCGTTGTAACAACTGACACTTGGCGGAGCCAGTGGAGTCCTGGAGCCGTGTTTCGGCCGAAAACAGTGACCCGGAGATAAAAAAAAGTGTAGCTGGGATTGCATCTATTGGGAAACAATTTGGCTAATATATATATATAGATATATATATAATTATATATATATAATTATATATATATATGGTTATTATATAAATGTTGTTAATATATTGGGTACCCCAATTTCATTGCTACCAATTCTTCACAAATGCTAATTCTCTTTGGGCAAAATGGATTAGCGCGGACAATTCGGGCGTGTCCCCGAGAGTGATAGCTCGGCGTGAGCAGAGCTGATCACACAGACAAAGGGTCCAACAGACAGCTTTGTACACACATCACAGGGGGTAGGTGAGTTTGCACCTACCCGCGGCCGTGGTATTTCTGCAGGCTGCAGACCAACAGGGAGGCAAAGCATATGTCAGCTATGCCCACCAATCCATTAACTAACCAGGAGTCAGCACTTCATTTGTCTAGATGCCAACTTGGTTGAAGCAAAACAGGGTTGGAGCATGAACTAAGAAAAAGGAGAAAAGCGATGCTGCACAAACTTCTCTCGTTGCCTGGGTAAAAAACACAAGTCTGCGCGACCCAGGCGCCTCACGAAATTGGCACCTGCAGTGTGAAGGATCAGCACTGCTTGCAGGGCCGACTCAAGCCACTTGTCTCAGGCCGCTAATTCTGTCTCAAAGGCCAGGCAGTGGCAACAGACTGAGGGCGTTGGCTTCCAAGCATTTGAAGAACCGACATAAGCAGGTTGAAAAACGTCTTCTCAGCCACGGCTCAGCACCAAGCATGTGAAAAGCCAGCTCTAGGCATTGACAACACAGTTTTCACAAGCACGGCCAGCTACCAAACACTTGAAGTACCATCATGGCGCAGTGTTGAAGTAGTCTGCTCAACCGCTGCCAGCCGACAAAGATGCCAATCGCCAGCCCCGGGCATGGGCAGAGTAATTTGCACAAGCACAGCCAGCCATCAAACACTTGAGGTACCATCATGGTATAGCGTTGGTGTAGTCTGCTCAACCGCTGCCCGTCCACAAAGATGTCAATCGCCAACTCCGGGCATGGACACAGTAATTTGCACAAACAAGTTCAGTTGCCAAACGTGTGAAGCACCTTCATTGCGATGGAGCATGGCAGACTCAAGCATGCACGGTCTTCGCCCAAGAGAACATCAGGAATAGGGTGCCAGGCGCTTCGAGCACCAGAACGACCAAACTCCATGGCAAACTAACCGGATGAAACTACTCCCAGGGATCTGCCGACTCAGCCACACTAACTGGAAAGTCCTGGGCCCGTGGCTCGGGCAAAATGGATTAAAATGGCATGTCAAGGAATTGGCTACTCAAAATCAGGGGGGGTATCATTATTGTCTCATACTTTCCTCATCATTCAAATAGCACTTTTTGGGGAAACAGTATGCCCCGAATTCTGGCATCGTCTATGTGCCCATCTAATCCTTCAGAATCTTCGAGGCTCCTTATAAGCAGTTTCTTGCCGTGCAAATGGTGTTTTTCTTGACAATGAAAAATCACCAAGAAAGTCGGTTGCAAAGATCTTGGCAAATTATAGATTGATAGAATCACTTCTGAAAATCATAGAGTTTACACCCATTTTACCATAGATCTGGGCAAATGATCATTAAATTCACTAACTCAATGGATTGGTTTCAGGGGAAAAAAATACAGGAAACCCCCATGATCTTCATGGGAAAATTGGAAAATCCATGGTTTCCTGTAGGTTTTCCCGTAAACCAATCCATTGACGAACCTGAAATGTTGGGCCACAGGGCCATGAAAAAACCATCGGCGCCTGCGATGCTTCTGCAGCACCTTGGACATGGAATTGTTCCATCCGCGGATTTTTTGGTTCCCAGTTACCCGAGGGTTTTTCCATGGGAGAATCACCGAAAAAAGCAGTGCGATGATTTGGATAAATCAGAATGAATCAGAGGGGATAGTTTCAATATGTTTCAAGAAAATCGTCTGGTTGGTGGTTGACCTATGCCGAAAAATCATGGAGTGAAAGTCAGTTGGGATGATGACATTCCCAATATATGGAAAAAAGAAATCATGTTCCAAACCACCAACCAGTCTTCTACATTCCCAGTTAAAAACATATCAATACTGCAATTCTTATGACCCCATCAACCAAATGCAGCACGCCCACTAATAAACCTCCTGGATCTACCACCCTAGAGCAAATCATGTTGTCCAAAACATAGAAAGAAAAAAACATGAAAAAAAAACGGAGTCACTTCCTTTCGTTTCCCGTTTTTTCCCAACCATACTGTGGGTGGTTGCGAAATCCTGCACCAAAAGGATGGTTGAACGCCTATAAAATCTATATATGTCTACCACCTATCAACCATCCAGTTTATCCACTTATCACCATATCATACCATATCTATGCGCATGATTTTTCTTCCATCCACCATATCTTTTTGATCGTTTTTTACGTTCAAAACCGTGCGAAGTCGCGGCGCCTTCCAGGCTCACCGGCAGGGGTCGGAGGGTCACCACTTTGGCCACCGTCTGCCAGGAGGCCTTCGACAAATTTCGACATGGCGGCATGGCAAGTTGGATCAACAGAACTCCAAAATTTAGATGGACATAGATGTATATACAAGGTGGTGCCCCATAGTTAGCTAAGTTGGTGCAAATAACTCCAATTTCACTATGGTTTATGGCAAATATAACGAACTAGTTCATGGGGTTTATAAACCAACTTATAACTGGGGGGCACCTGTAGATGGATATAACAATTGGAGTATTATAGTATAACAACAATGATATAACATGATGGGATATAACAATAGTATAACATATGTTGGGATATAACATATGTCGGGAAATAACAATAGTGTATACAATAGTATGGTCTATCTATAGTATTCATGGGAAACCATGATTTAACATGATATAGTATTCCAATGTATTCCCATGATATAACATGATACAACTATAGTCTTCATGGGAAACCAACTTGGATGGGGGGCACACCTTGTAATGGAGGATGATTAAGGATGAGATGAATAACATATAATAAGATATAATATAATATAATATATTAGTATTAGCTGTATGTTAGTTACAACATGTTACAACTATATATTGTTGATGAGTATCGTTCAATCCGTTCACTTCCCACACTTTGCAACAACCAACAACCAATTGAATTGGCCAATTGACCAGTGCTTTTTTGGGGTGCTTGGGTTCTATACACTAAGTTAGGGCACATACGCTGTGTGTACGCGGGCCTACGCTGGGTGGAAGGTAGCCTACGCAGATTACATATCAAAAAATGTCTACGCGAGCGCCTACGCAATTTTTTTGACCGGACATGGAGAAGCCAGTGGCTTTCAGCCTACGCAATCTTGCCTACGCCAAAAAGTCAACAAATGCATACGCGAAGAGCGTGCGCTGCCTAGGCTGCACTGCAAAACACACATGATCAGCCTACGCAACATATCATGCAGTTCCCTTCTATCTATGATCTCCCAAAAAAAAAACGATGCTCAATTGGGTCCTACATCCCCACGGCTGCAGCTTGTAGCGTGTCAAGCCTCTGCATCTGCATAGCCGCGCCATTCGCGGCTCACGGCGCAGATTTTGCAAAGATCCTGGCGCGCTTGGCAATGGAGGTTTCCATAGTCATGGGGGTACCCGAAGAAAAAAATGGAGGTTTACAGAGAAAATCCCAAACCACCTTCATGATTTGGGGGTAGCCCTATTTGAGGAAACCCCCAAATCGACAACAGAAGGAAAGATAGAAGAAGAAACAAACTCAAAGACAAATGAAACCAATACGGAGTGAAAAAACATATTCAGGTAATTACATGTACCCTCTGGTCATTTAACATAGCTATGGAAAATCACCATTTTTTAATGGGAAAATCCACTATAAATGGCCATTTTCAATAGCTGTGTTAGTTTACCAGAGGGTAATAACAATGGTCTCCTGTGCCGGCACACACCCAACAGCTGATCATTGATGGAAGTGCTACGTTGGGAAGGATCTGGCCGCTCAATTTGCACGTTTTTGATGGGTAAGATCCATGTCCCATTTTTATCTCTACCCACAATGAGAAAACCATATTGCTTCTAATGAGTATCTCATCTTCATCTCGTATCGCAATTGAGGACATCAAAATCTATCATCCCATTTCAAGCCAATTTCAGACACCATGTTTTATCCCCATTATATGTCATTATATCTTCATTATATCTTGACTATACAGTATCATTCTACCCCTACCATAGTTGATAGGTGCTCATTAACCCTGAAATATCCCCACTATGGTAGGCCCATCTATCTAATATATCATTGCCTAGCTATGTGTTCCCCATAAAACCCCATTGTATTCTATTCACATTAGCTGATATATAAATCCTCATATCCCAAAAATCCGCATAATTCCGCATGAGTTTCCAGAAATCACCACAATGGCTGGTTATAAAGCCCCAATCTGTCGCTTAAATCCCCCAAATAAGATAAATATGTCCTTTGAAAATGCAAAACCCTGAGATATCATCAAATGTTGGTCAAATCCCCATCAATTCCCATAATGTATCCATAAAGTTTTCATACAGTAAATCATGGTTGGAGGGAGCCACACAGGGTTTAGGGTTTAGGTGAATCCATTGAGTATCCATAGATCCCGCTATGGTTGGTTGTAGCATGTGTTTTTCCCCACATAAATCTCTGCTTGGTGGCGAACTACCCACGAATCGTTTTTGTGGGTTAGTTCACCCCAGTGATTTACATGGGATAAGGAGCGGGTTAATCCACTGAAATAACTGGGGTGAACTAACCCACTTACGATTCGTGGGATGAGCCACCAAGTGAGTTATACCCCATACAACTCATAAATACTCATAATATAAATCATAAAAAGATATTCCCAGATCAATCTTATATAAATCCCCATAAATCATCATTAAAATCCCCGGCTTCCATAGATCCCCGGCTGTTGGGGATGGGAATGGATAGGATCTTGGTCCACTTGGTCCACTTGGTCCTCGGGCGCCAGGCACCCCCGGCTGCACAGCAATTCCAACTGCAGCGCCCGTCGATCCATGGCGCAACCGATGGCCACAGCCCAGAGGTCAAAAAAAATCTAAGTGTGTAAGGGCATTGGTGACCTAATGGGATTTTATAGTGACTTAATGGAATTTTATAGTGACTTATGATAAAAATAATGATTATATAGATATCTCTATATAGGTGGTGCAGGTGGTGCCCCCCAAGTTATAACTTGCTTATAAGCCCATTGACAAGTTCGATATATCACCTATAAGCACCATCCTGTGGAAGGTCTTTGAAGCGGAAACCAACGATGCACAGAACCAACGATGCAGCGTTTTGGTACCTGGCTGCCATCCCTGGTTGATGGTTAATTAATGTGGTTAATATACTGTTAATAATGGTTAATATGATGGCTATTATATGGTTAATGATGGTTAATAATAATCTGGTTGGTGGTTGAGCCCTACCCCTCTGAAAAATCATGGAGTGAAAGTCAGTTGGGGTTACTATTCCCAATATATGAAAAAAACAGATTGGATCATCATCCCTACTGGGGAAAATAAAAGTCATGTTCCATACCACCAACCAGCTCAGATTGTCTTTCCTTCAAATGGCTGCAATTCTTCACGCCACAGGGCCTGATCTTTCATTCACCACTCAGCAGAACCAGTCCGTTTCACAAAGCAATGTGCCCGGTGCCCAGATATTCCTCAACATTGTGCTGGAGGGGATCTTCCAAAAAATACAACATTTGGAAAGGCCCCTTGGGGCCTTAAAAAACCCAGAATGTCATTGCATCTTTACACATACCATAATCTTATACCTTATACCCTCTGGTAACTCGACATCGCCATGAAAAATGTTCATTTGCTGATAATTTACCTTATTTGATAGTATAAACATGGCCATTTTCCATGGCTATGCTAGATTGCCATCTTGAGATCGACACTCGCCTGTTTGAAGCTGCGGACAAACTCAAAGTCTCCCGCGCTAGGCACCTGAGGAGGGTTTTTTGCACGGTCCATAGCCATCAAAAATGTGTGTTTTATGTGGGTGGATATTAAAAAAAAAACATTCTATTTTAGATGGTTAAACATGGTTAGACCCCCATTGTCCCTCATTTGAACCCTCATAATATAAAGTTAGAGATTTGATGGTTTAGTCTGGAGATATATGTAGCCAATATAAAATGAAATACCCCCTTTATGGGCTCTCAACATGCATCAATGAATAGAGGAATAGATCCAATATTTCACCAGGGTTTCGATTGGGTTGCATTTAATTATCAGAGGAAGGGATTGTAAAGGTATCCATTTGGGGCAAGCCAACTTTGACTCCTACCCACAGACTGCCTAACACCCAAAGAAGGGCCCCATTTGGGCAAGTGTGTAGGTCATGGTCATGCAAAAAATCTGGATGATCCTGGATGTTTGGAATATGAAACCGGCCATGGAATATACATATATATAGTATATGTATATAATGTCCTTGAAATTCAAACACTCAAGCATGTCTGGTTGGTGGTTTTAACCATCTTGAAAAATATGAGTCAATGGGAAGGTCATGTTCCAAACCACCAGCCAGCATGTAAATGTTGCTAGACATTGCCTGATGAAATCATCGCAGACGATTTTTTTACCCAGAATCAATCGAGAAATGTGGCTTTACTCCCAGAAGGCCGAAGGTTGCTCTCATGTGGCTTTACTTGACCCATAAATCCATGTTCTCCTCACGAGCTTTTTTTCTGTGCCCACGTTTAGCGGGTGATTTCCTCGATGCTCATTCTAGATACCCTGCAAAAAAAGTTCCTTCTCAACTGGGTATCAATAATTCCCCGATCAAAACGGCTAGAAATGAAGTTGCAGAAACCTATCCAGCCACTTCGTTTACCCAGCTCTGTTCCTGTTTAAAACCTTTATCGAACCACTTATTTATAATCAATTGTGTTGCTTCAAACCATTGCTTGGTCAATTATTTTGTTTGAAGTCTCCATCAATAATGTCCATTTGGATCCTTTTGGTAAGAATAGAGGGCCCGGTTTGGTATACCATATTATACTATCTATCATCAAACAAACCTGCTGTTAAAGGGGTTTCTTCAAACCCCTTTTTTTCTCAACCAACCAATGGGAAAAGGACATCTATGGTTAAGGATTTTTTTTGGAGATTAGATATATCCAGTAGTAGAATGTAATAATTATGATTAAGAAATGGTAGACTTGTGAATTGGCTAAAAATGATGAATTATTCATTGCCAATCTTAGATACCCTGCAAAAAATGACAAATTCTTTGCTGGTGAACGTAGATAATTATTCCCATTGATATCAAAAGACTAGTCAGGATTATCCATCTAAGATTGACCTAGTAAATTGCAATTTTCAATAGCTATGTTAGTCATAACCAGAGGGTATGATCCATTATATCCCCAAACAAAATCCCTATAAATCCCCATTATATCCCCAAACAAAATCCCTATATATACATGGTGACATCTCCATCTTTTCATGATATTCATGGTGAAATCCCTGAAATCCAACGAATTTCCCAGGGGCTTTTAACCTCTGCACCATCTCAGCACCTTGATAGCACAAATGACCTCCGCCGCTTGCATGTCGACCACCTCGGTGCTGAAACTGCTGCGCGAACCAGCAGCGCACTGCTGCGCAATTTGGGGGATGAAAATGACCCGGCCGTCGGTAAACGTTGATAGTTTGCGAACTTGAACATGGTCATTTAGTTCGTTGATTTACCCATTAAAAAAATTGATTTCCTTAGTTATGTGAACGTTTACCAGAGGGTACGCAATTTGAATCCCACCCATGAATATAGTGAAATTAGGCATGGTTTAGGCTTTGGGGTGTACCACATTACATGGTTTTCAGGTACGAAGACATAGGTCTCTGGTTAGGAATTTGCCTCAAACGTCAAACCAGTGTTTCCGACATGTTCTAGAAAAACTTCAACATTTTCCGACATGTGGGTTAGTCTGAAAATAGGGCACCCCCTTAAATTTGATCAAATTGGATGGTTTATCATTTGAGGGTCCCCTGGTCAGACAAAGCCATGAGGTTGTTCAAAGCCCCACAAGGTCAAATGAGGTTTATTGTTCCGTTGTCCACATTGTACGATACCCTCTGGTAGACTAACATAACTATGGAAAATCACCATGTTCAATGGGAAAATCCACTATAAATGGTCATTTTCAATAGCTATGTTAAACTACAGAGGGTAATCTGCTATTTGGTCAAAAAATACGCGTCCCTTGACACATGGTCTTTCTGGGCGGGACGATATGCAAAAAACTCTTCCACACCAATGCCCGAGGTACGCGATAGCTTTTGAAGAACTCCTTCATAGGGACCTGGCTGGCCCCCACATGACAGTAGCAATCGGGTTTGGTTGTCAAGAGTAGTTCAACGTAATGGGAACATTTGGTGGTGATAGTTATGCTGAGGTACACCCAACAAGAACTACAAATTGCCCTTAGATTCTATGATCATCATTCTGGGTAAATTATACAGTAATATTTCATTAACCTGAATTAAGGCCATTTGGGGATGATTTCCCTTACTAACCATGATTCCAGTGAGGTCGCAGTGAGGTCGTTATAATTTACCCAGATTATAATAATGTGTAATGATAGTTTACGAAAATAATAACACTGTTAGATTCGCTGATTCTGATTCGAGAATCTGATGCTTTGTGTTGAAAGCTCCAAACAGTTTGTGAGAAGCAGAATGCTTCTCAACAAGGTTATGTCCGCATTACTGGCACTGGGTGGTTTGCATAAACAGGGCATCAACAACTAAAGGACACATAGACGAGAACAGGAAACTTCTTAATCCAACAGGCAAGAATCTAGAAGCATCTGGATGGACGTATTTGGAGTTTGAAACATCAAGCTGCCTATCACTTTCCAGGAATCTTTGTCTAACATTGCACCAAACAGTTTAACAACATACGAAAATATACGAAAATCACATAAAATCACCACATCCCAACGGGTTTCTTTGAGTATCCCAACATCCCAACAGGTTAATCCTTGGTTAATCATCACTGTTCCCGTTTCTTCCCAGCAATTTTTTCGGGTGCAGTTTCACTAAGCAGGTGATACCCCTTATTACTACAGTTAGTGAGGCCCCCGTTTACGATAGCGTTCAGTTGGTGCGTGCAAATAACTCCAATTTCACTATGGGTTATGGTATTTTATTGGATTTAATGGTGAATGGAAATTGAATACAATGTGGGGCCCCCAAGATAGCTAAGTTGGTTTATACGTCCAATAACTATGGTTTATGGTATTTATAACTATAGTTACTGGGGCTTTTGTTAACCAACATTCACATCACATTTAGAGGCCCCACATGGTATAATAACCCACATGGTATACATATATATATATGCTAACATGACTGGGGTAAAAAAGGATGGGATCCATGTTACATCATGTTACCATATATAGCAGCACCATGGATCCGTCATGGGTACAGTACCCAACCAGTCACTCCGCAACCCGAAACCTCGCGAGGAGCTTGCCCAGCAGAGGCCAGGATCAAGCTGGCATCCAGGGCCATAAGTACCTCACAACGTGGAGTTGAGGGGAAAAAAACATGGGCTATATTGGAGGGAAAAAAAACGACCAATTTCATCGTATTTCATAGGAAAATTAATAATGATGATCATGGGAATACAAAATCATATCAATGTATCCAAGAATCCGATCTTTGGGTTTGATTGGTCTGATTTTGTTTAAATGATGCCCATCAATAATGGTGACAATCATGGTGACAATGATAATCAACCAGCTAAATTTGGGTAACCTACGGTGGATGGTTGCGAAATCCTGCACCAGTTGGTATATGGTTTATCCCCTTATAATCCCATTATTTACAATGTTTCATAGTTACCTAACGGTTGCCAACTGGTGCAGGATTTCGCAACCATCCACAGTATGTTCAGATGATGCACCCATATGAATTTACAAATGTTATATCCATAAGATCAGGATTTAAAAACTATGATTGACTTACTGGTGCTACGTTGGGGGGATGCTACCCTCTGGTAAACGTTTATAGGGATTTATAGGGATTTATAGGGATACCATAGGATTTATAGAGGATTTATAGGGGATATAATTGGGAAGTGGAAAGATTCACCATTTTTCATGGGAAAACTCACTATTTCTATGGCAGTTTTCAATAGCAAACTGTAAACGTTTACCAGCGGGTAAAAACTATGATTGAACCATGCGGAATTCACCAACAATCAAAGCTTTGAGCAAGAAGAATAGTGCGAATATGTGCGAATAGTGCGACACACCCCTTTTTTGCCACCGTCTCAGCACATTTTTGGGGGATGTAATCAAAAAAAAAACATGACTTGATCAAAAGCTTGGAAATTGACACTGTAAGAATTGGAACTTGCCCGCAAAGTGGGAGATGTCACGAATTTTAGGCCACGAGAACTGGAATTGGCCAACAAGAATGCCGATTAGATCAACTGGTGATGTGAGCAAACAAAATTATGATTTCGACATTTAAAAAAAACATGTGATTTAACCTGATTTACCCTGGTGCAAACTAATATAGATGTGGAAAATCACAATTTTCAATAGGAAAATGGAAAAAAATATGTTACAGAAAAATGATGATGGTGTTTTCCACATCTATGAAAAACTTAAGGAGCCGCTCAGCCTTTTTTTTGGTCTTTCCACCGCGATGATCCACCGGTCATCCCTTCGTCACCCCTTCGTTTTTAGAAAAACGTGTTCCAAGGTGGTTGGAAGGGACGATCAAGATATTCTGGTTGGTGGTTGATCAATGGATTGGTTTAAGGGAAAATTTTAACCGGAATCCATGTTTTTTTTTACCATTAAATATGAAGTTTTCCTGTAAATTTTCCCCTAAACCAATCCATTGAGTTGAGCCCTACCCCTCTGAAAAATGATGGACTGAGTTCGTCAGTTGGGATGATGTCTGACATAAAATTCATGGAAAGTCATAAAATTCATGTTCCAAACCACCAATCAGTTATATATTATGTATCTATATATATATATGGGTCAATTATAATCTTGGGATGTCTTCACCACCTGTCACAGGGAAGATGGGAAACTGGGGTCTGAAAAACAAAAACATCTTCACTAGGACACTAGGATATATCTAGAAGCATCCGGGTAAATTACAATATTTCACTGACCTGAAATGTTGGGCCATTTGGGGATGATTTCCCTTGTTAACCATGATTCCAGTGAGGGAGAACAGAGAGGTCGTTATAATTTATCCACGGTATATGTATATGTGGGTCATAATTTTGTCATGTCATATCTTTTGAATGATGATATGTGACCCTTTCCAAGAGATTTAAGGGATTAAATCATGTGAAGAATTCGATGAGTACATCTAGATAGTCTATAAAATATATATATATATATCATAGGATAGGTTATGGGATATAATCTGGTATTATATATAATAATATATCGAATATATAATACATAATATTTCCCTAATATAATATCCCATCTAGATATATATCCCATAATTAGGGTATAATATCCCATAATATGCCATCATGGATGATGATATATAATATCCCATATAGATATATATATATATATACATATATAAATATGGTATAATATAATATCTATAAATATAAAATATATAATATATAGTATTTCCATATGGTAGATTATATATATAATATCCCATAATTATCATCCATGATTCTCCATGAATCTCGGGGCACAGGGTTCATGTCAGAGATGGGGCTGGCGGTGGCGATGTTTCCAGCCAACACGGCCACCTCAAACGTTGCCAAACGTCGTTTCCACGTGTGGCAAGTGGATATGTTGTCATGGTTTCATATATGATATGCAATATGTATGTATGTATGTATGTATGTATGTATGTATGTATGTATGTATGTATGTATGTATGTATGTATGTATGTATGTATGTATGTATGTATGTATGATGTATGTATGTATGTATGTATGTATGTATGTATGTATGTATGTATGTATGTATGTATGTATGTATGTACATGTATGTATGTATGTATGTAGTATGTATGTATGTATGTATGTATGTATGTATGTATGTATGTATGTATGTATGTATGTATGTATGTATGTATGTATGTATGTATGTATGTATGTATGTATGTATGTATGTATGTATGTATGTATGTATGTATGTATATATGTATATATGTAAATATGTATGAATGTATGTCTGTCTGTATGTATGTATGTTTGTATGTTTGTTATTGTATGTTTGTTATGGTATGTTTGTTATGGTGTGTTTGTTATGGTATGTTTGTTATGGTATGTTTGTGTTGGTATTGTTGTTTTGGTATGTTGGTCATGGTATGTTTGTTATGGTATGTTTGTTATGATATGTTTGTTTTGGTATGTTTGTTATGGTATGTTTGTTATGGTATGTTTGTTTTTGTATGTTTGTTATGGTACGTTTGTTATGGTATGTTTGTTATGGTATGTGTGTTATGGTATGTTTGTTGTGTATGTTTGTTATGGTATGTATGTTATGGTATGTATGTTATGGTATGTCTGTTCTGGTATGTTTGTTATGGTATGTTTGTTATGGTATGTTTGTTATGGTATGATTGTTATGGTATGTGTGTTTTGGTATGCTTGTTATGGTATGTTTGTTATGGTATGTGTGTTCTGGTATGTTTGTGATGGTATGTTTTTTATGGTATGTTTGTTATGGTATGTTTGTTATGGTATGTTTGTTATGGTATCTTTGTTATGGTATGTGTGTTCTGGTATGGTTGTTATGGTATTTTTGTTTTGGTATGTATGTTGTGGTATGGTTGTTATGGTATGGTATGTATGTTATGGTATGAATGTTATGGTATGTATGTTACGGTATGTATGTTATGGTATGTATGTTATGGTATGTATTGTCTGTATGTCTGTCTGTATGTCTGTATGTCTGTATGTACGTGTATATATACATATATATATATATGTGTGTGTATTGTATGTGTTTGTTCACATATAGTGACCGACCTACATTTTGGAGCAAACATAACCCCAAAGGAGGTTCTAAGTGTTTGTTTTTGTTTTTTACACAAATTAACACTTGGAACCTGAAATTTGGGAGGTTCTAAGTGTTTGCTCCAAATTTTTGGAAAAAAATGAGGTTCTAAGTGTACGTTGGTCGCTATATAACACATCATGAAATGAACATATCCTGAACCTGAAACTGGGTGTAAACAACCCTTCCATTTCGTAGGGTCATTCCAATAAAAAGATTGAGATTGCATATGCCATGGCTATAGTCAACTGTGTAGATATTATCAAACACCCGGTAATCAAACAAGGAAATTAATGGGAAATTCCGAACTAGGTTTCAAAAGCTGGGAACATGATCGACAAAAATGCTGGATTTTCCAGCAAGCCAAGTTTGACCCATCTCCAGGTGAAAATTGGTTTCAAGGATGATTTTTACACAAAACCTCTGGTATTGTTCAGGGAAAATCCATAGTTTCCTGTAGAATTTCTATCATCATCATCATCATCACCATCATCATCATCATCATCATTAGTATTAGCATTATCACTATGAGTGTTTCCATTATATATATATACCAGTATATATATATATATATACCATTGCTATCAGTATATTTCCCTTAAGTCATCCCAAAAAAAACTCAAAGCACGAGGCCGAGTTCCCCGGACATTTCGGATCTGAGCACTGGCGAACCAGCGCAGCATGTCCAGCATGGCCTAGCCGAGATTTCCTGATTCAGTGATATAGAAAGATATGAGTTTATATGATGTATATAATATAGATATATATATATATATTTATATACATATTTAATTATATAGATATACTATATATATATTGTATTTTGATTGATATAGAGAGATGTTATTTTATATCCCCAATGCTCCATGTATGGTATATTTGACAACATTCACATCATTTTTGTGACCCAAATGTAGGTAAACATTCCATACATGGAGCATATGACAACATGGGTATAATGTATATATCTATAAATAACTGTTTGGTGGTTTCAACCCCTCTGAAAAACATGAAAGTCAGTTGGGATGATTATTCCCAATATATGGAAAGTCATAAAAGTCATGTTCCAAACCACCAATCAGATAATGTAGATTATCATATATTGTATTTTAATTGTGTCTATATAAAATATGAGGTCTTCTCTAAAGTCCTGGATTCCAACGGATTCCAACGAACATCGCCTAAAAACAAATCTTAGCGTATAAAAACAGGACTCCGATGCGTACAGGACTCCGCCTTTAAAGTTCAAGTGTCCCAACATACCGATGGAACATGAGTGGTGGATGAGGTATGGAAAGGGCTCCAACCGGTCACCGGTAACCCCATTTTTCACCGAAGATCTTCCAGCGTTCCCAGTTACAGCGGAGCAAGCCATAGAATTTACAATGGAAATCCCCCATTTATGGATTCTATGGTACAACTTTATGATAAAAAAGCAATCTGTATGGATTTAATGGTTCTTTAGATCTATGGATCCAACTTATGGATTTAAAGATTGCTTTATAGATGATCATAAAGAAATCCCATGTAACTTTAGAATCAACAATAGCCACCATGTAACTTTAGAATCAACAGTGGATGATCATAAAGATCAAAAAAAGAATGGCACATATGTTGCCAAAGAGCGGCAAAAAACCCTCTGGTAAACGTTTACATAGCTATGGAAAATAACCATGGTTTCATGGGAAAACTCACGTAATAAATTGCCATTTTCAATAGCTTTTTGTATGTTTACCAGAGGTTATCCCAATTCTTGTCGATGATTCTCCCAATTCTCATCACCCACTTCCGGGGGATTTCCCAGCCATGGAAAATCCCATGACAGCTATGGGCTATTCGATATGGGAAAGTCCTCCAAAAATAAAAAGGCTGTTTCAAGATACCCTCTGGTGAACATACAAAAAGCTATGGAAAATGGCTATTTATAGTGGATTTTCCCATGAAAAATGGTGGATCTTTCCATTGCTATGTAAACGTTCACCAGAGGGTATCTTATCTATCCGGCCTGGTCAACGGGCTAACTTAGCGAACTGGAAAATCACCATTTTATAGCTGGGTAAATCAACTATTTCTATGGTCATTTTCAATAGCTATGTTACTCATTACCAGACGGTATTATCCATTATATCCCCAAACAAAATCCCGAAAAACAAATCTATTCACTGTCACATGGCCATTTTACCACAGATTTAGCCACATAAAAACCTCTGGTAAACGTTTACATAACTATGGAAAATCACTATTTTATAGCTGGGTAAATCCATATTCCTCCATCCGATTCACTGGAGATCATCGAGCCTTTTCTCTGGCAGATGCACAAACAATGTACTCTCCAGAAATGGATCGCTGGTCGACTGGCTCGAATCATCTTTGTGGATCTGAAAAAATATCAGCCCTTTGGCGACTCGAACATTGAATATATATCATCTTCATCGACTCAGCTACCCTACCGCAGCTACCTTGGTACTCTCACTATGATCTGCAGCAAGCTCTAAGCTGCAAAACTTCGAAACTTCTCAGGGTGTCAGCCCCATCAGCCCCAAATAATGGCATCGGTGATGGCATTTCCGAGGACGTTGTTGGGGTCCAACTCAGCCTTAAGCCGCCCAAATTCCTGCACGTTAAACCTCAGCGGTCACCATCGCACGATTTTGATGTTCGGAGAAGGGCCGATGATTGGCAGGGCAGTTTCTCCACTGGGAACTTGTGCAACCCTGGATTAATAAACCCCTACCTAGGCTGTTTAATTGGGGGTGATACCATTTATGTATCATATCAAGTGACTATTTGGCATTATTACCCCCACAATTTTCATAAACCATGGTTTATTAATCAGGAGTTGACATAATGGTAGTTTTAGGAACCCTCAAAAAAGATCGAAAAGTAATTGATCACCGTTTTCGTGGGATTGTCCGAATTTCTAACTTTGAGGGAGACCAAAAAACTCGTATCCATGTCTCACTATTGGTGTCACGGCCGAGCTGCTTCCTGGCAAATTGCTCTTTCAAGATCTTCCGCCGCTCCCCAGCATGGAAGTTAAGGTCGATCTTACTCCAATGGAAAAAGCCATCCTGAGGGAAAATTGTGAAAGCATAAAAGATCTGGTTCTTGAAACATGTCTCCTGATTGTCTGGTTGATGGGGTTGATGGTGTACCTACCCCTCTGAAAAATATGAAAGTCAGTTGGGATGATACCACCAACCAGCTGTGATTCTACATCTCCGGAACAGTAAAAAAAACGTCTTGTCGTGATTTGCAACACATCCCTTTCCGATCGATGTCTGCTTTTGACCACTCCTTATTTCCAAAACCCGCCTGGCTTTTAGTCTAAAGACTTGCCAACCCTCCCATCGACCTGATTGGCTTCACACCACATGTTTTTCATCGGTAGTTGTAGATGTTTATCCCCCTTCATCAACCGATGCTCCCATGTGTATTGACCCATACCAATATCAGTGTGTATATATACATATATATGCAAAGAAGAATTGGACTATATATATATACACATATTTATTTATTTGTTCCAGTAGTACCGCACACGGCGGTGGCGGAAGTTTCAAAAATAGGAAACCTATAGGAAAGGTTGGTTGTTGTGAATCACGGATGGCAGAGCGAAGCCACTGATGGATCGAAAGGTGATTGATGTCTCCTCTCTTTCTCTCTCTCTCTTTCTCTGACTATCTACCTACCTACCTACCTACCTACCTATCTACCTATGTATCTATCGATCTATCTATCTATCTACCTATCTATCTATCTATCTATCGATCTATCCATGTATCCATCTATCCATCTTTCTATCTACCTATCTATCTATCTATCTATCCATCTATCTATCTATCTGTCTGTCTATCTGTCTACCTGCCTATCTGTGGTGCAGTGTCATTCAGTGTAAGGTAATGTCGTGTAATGTAGTGTAGTGTAGTGTAATTTAGTGTAGTGGAGTGTAGTGGAGTGTAGTGAAGTGTAATTTAGTGCAGTGGAGTGTAGTGGAGTGTAGTTGTAGTTGTAGTTGTAGTGTAGTTGAGTGTAGTGTAGTGTAATGTAGTGAAGTGTAGTGGAAGGTAGTGTAGTGTAGTGTAATGTACTGTAGTGTAATGGAGTGTAGTGTAGTGTAATGTAGTGTGTGTAGTGTAATTTAGTGTAGTGGAGTGCAGTGGAGTGTAGTGGTGTAGTGGAGTGTAGTGGAGTGTAGTTGTGTAGTTGTGTAGTTGTGTAGTTGTAGCTGTCGTGTAGTGGAGTGTAGTGTAGTGTAATGTAGCGAAGTGTAGTGGAAGGTAGTGTAGTGTAGTGTAGTGTAATGTAGCGAAGTGTGGTGGAAGGTAGTGTAGTGTAGTGTAATGTAGTGTAGTGCAGTGTAGTGGAGTAGTGTAGTGTAATGTAGTGTAGTGTAGTGTAATTTAGTGTAGTGGAGTGTAGTGGAGTGTAGTGTAGTGTAGTGGAGTGTAGTGGAGTGCAGTGGAGTGTAGTTGTGCAGTTGTAGTGTAATGTAGTGTAGTGAAGTGTAGTGTAGTGGAGCGTAGTGTAGTGTAATGTAGTGTAGTGGAAGGTAGTGTAGCGTAGTGTAATGCAGTGTAGTGTAGTGTGGTGTAATGTAGTGTAATGTAGTGTAGTGTAGTGTAATTGAATGTAATTGAGTGCAGTGTAGTGTAGTGGAGTGTAGTGTAGTAGAATGTTGGAAGGTGTAGTTGTAGTTGTAGTGTAGTGTAATGTATAGGAGTGTAGTGTGGTGTAGTGGTGGTTGTAGTTGAAAATGCTACAAAACCCTCACGTTTTGCTCACTTTTGACAAGGTCCACAATCCCTTGCGCCTGCCACGCGAAACGACATCTGAACCTCCAAAAGTGGTCCGACAATGGTGTGCTTTGTACATTTTGACTTCGAAATGTGCTTCGCGCCACAACGGCGTGCACTTTTTCGACATCTCAACTTCCAAAAGTGGTCCGAACGTGGTGTGTTTTGTACATTTTGACTTACAAATGTGCTTCGCGCCACAACGGCGTGCAGTTTTTCATCTCTCATCTGGCCAGCTGGCTCCGCACCCGCCGCTTTAGCGAGCCTACTTTTCGACCCTCCGGAGCCCCAAATCATAGGAAAAACACAGTGTTTCGCGACTTTCCTATCTTTTCTCGCATCTGCATCTTCTTTCTTCTTACTCTTTCTCTTCTACTCTTCTTTCTTCTAATCTTTCTCTTCTCTCTGCCTCTTCCCTTCTCTGCTTTTCATCTGTCCATATTGTCGGAAGTTTGACTTCTAAACTTCCTTCGATTATTTATTTATATATACCTTGACCCTCCGAACCCGCAAAATTCGTAGGGTGGCACTTAAAACCCAGGGTTTCAAAACAAAACCCAGGGTTTTTCTATTTCCACAAATTTCAAGACCATGCCCCCAAATGCTCTGATTTTATTAATGCGGTGGGTCCTCAAAAAGTGTTGCATTTCTGTCCAGTCTACTGGTCATCGACGCCCAAACACAAGCCCAAACACAACAACACATATTATATCATATTATATTTTCACCAGTTCCAAGGGGTTCCAACCCATGTTTTATATCATGGGTGCACACGGGTAAATCACGGGTTGAACATGGGTTGAACACGGGTTAGAGAAAACCTGGTTATTTTCAAAATACACGAGGTTAAAAAGTTTAGCCTACAAACCCTGGGTATTCCTTAAGAAAACACGGGTTGACACGGGTAAATCACGGGTTGAACACGGTTTGCTAGAGGCTTGAATTCCCGACCCGTACTTTTCCATGTTGGGGTTGCGTTTTTCCTCTACTTCAGATGTATATGTAGATGTGGCTTCCTGACGGTAAGGCTGAATGGAGGAAAATCTAAGAAACATATGATGAAGCAAAGTAGGAGAAGTGTTGGAAGCAAGCACTATATCGAATTCGGACAGTTTGTAAGAAAACCCTGGTTTTTTGTGACAAACCCAAGGTCTTTAGCATGATCACGGCTAAACCCAGGGTTTTAGTTTGCACCCGACAAATTTGTAGGATTTGGAAGCTAAGGTATATATACACACGTGCGACCAGTTGTTTCCCCACATCTCAAGGGTCATTTTGCCCCAATTTTTTCTCAAAATCCTCCACCAAAAGTCATATTTGAAGGTCAGATCCGCATGGCGCATGGCATAGGCTCGGAACTTCTCTTTGATCGCCGGTGCCTTTGAAAAAAGCTTTGCCCGCGATTTGGGGGTAACCATGGGTAACCATATACTCAAACATAAACATGGAACAAATGGATGATTAAACTTCATAAACAAGATAAAATTGGGTTCGCCCAGCAACACGACGGATTTGAAACATACCTGAAACTTCACATGGAAACCAACAAAAATGTCATAAAAAGCCTTCTCGAAACTCCAAAACCAAACATGGGGGGGTCCTAAAATAGGGGTACCCCTGAATCATCCAAAATGAGACAATTTTCGTATTGAAACCTATGGTTTTGGAGATCCCCCATTTTTAGAAACCTCCACATCATGATGCGGACACACCCCCTTTGCGCCTGTTCTTCCGAAGTGATGTACATGATCACCCCCACCCATGAGAAGAGCGCATTCTCCTCGGCATGGTCAAGCGGTTGAGATCTTTGATTTGGGATACTAACAATAAACCGCACCAAAGAAAAGTTCGAACAAAAAAAGGAGTTGCCCGACAAAAAATATCTACTAAAATATATACATGAAGGAATGTTGTCGTGATTTTAAGCCCATTTTTCTCTACAGCATGCATACTGTAGTCATGGAAACCATAGACCCAGCCCATGTCGATAAAATTGTGTTAAAATGTTTTTTTTTTTCTCACCCCTATCCCATAGTACAATAGGTATTGACCCATCCCACGTTCACGGTTTAGATCTATATCTTTACTGGCTATCCTCTGGTAATCTAACATAGTTCTGGAAAATCAGCATTTGAGTAATTAGGTCATTCATCCATTAATGGACCATTTTCCGTTGCTATGTCTACCCTCTCGGGTATATCTCCATTCTGAATATTGCAAAAGATCCCCAGGCCCAGGCCCTGATTGGATCCCAAAATATGAACCATCATTGAGAAAAACAATGTCGTCGCGACGTGAGATCGTTGAAAAATATGTTATCATCTGTCTATCCATATAAAATTCACCATCATCATATCCGAAATGTCCATTCTGTGTATGATCCATTGCCATTTAGATCCGCATGATACAAGCCTTATGCTTAAAATTGAATCACATGAAAATCATAGAGTTTACACCCATTTTACCATAGATTTAGCCACATTACCCTCTGGTAAACATACAAAAAACTATAGAAAATCACCATTTTATAGCTGGGTAAATCAACTATTTCTATGGTCATTTTCAATAGCTATGTTACTCATTACCAGACGGTATTATCCATTATATCCCCAAACAAAATCCCGAAAAAATCCCTATTCACATTGCCATTTTACCACAGATTTAGCCACATTAACCTCTGGTAAACGTTTACATAACTATGGAAAATTACTATTTTCAATGGGTCAATCCACTATTTCGACTGGGCCATTTTCAAGTTCGCAAAGTGTAAACGTTTACCAGAGGCTAACCATCATTTCACCTCATCTTGCGCGCGCATTTGCGCGCCTGTGTGGAGTATGCTGGACTCATTGGGCTGCGGCTCCTGGTGCAGGGCTGTATCGTATGAGAAGGAAAGATCCAAAAAAAAAGAATGGTTAATTATTAACTATAGTAGTGCTATATTAGAATAGTAGTGCTATACTTAATATTAGTAGGAATAATGAATAGTACTATTATTCTATATTAGAATGATGAATAGTTCTGATCATAGTTTGAATGCTAGTTACATTATTTTAAGACTATGATAATGATTGATATATAGTACTATTCAATAATGAAAACATTAAAATAATATTTAATGGGACAATATGGAACATAAGACACCATAATATGTAAAATTGCGGGATAATGTGGGAAACACAATTTCATAAACCATTCCAAAGCATCACCATTTTTATGGGCGGGATTCAATCAATCCCCAGTCATGGTAGGTTTATGGCATTGGGTTTATCACAGTATAGTATTCTATTCATATTCTGAAGATTTCTGAAGTCACGATAAATATGGCAGTATTATGTGATAATAATAATGTTCAAGTATAATATTTCAAAATGTGGAGTCATTAACAGTAGAAAGTACAATAGTAAAATTAGTAAATTACCCTTGAATTTCAGTCATAGTCTTCATATGTGTTTATCATGTTTTAACACCTGTATAAAGTATGATCGACTCATTAATTGTCAAGCAACAGCTATAATTACGAAAATGGAGCTCCATTTTCCTCCACCCTCCTTTCATTTAATGAATTTTACCCGTCATAAACGTGGTTTTATGCCAATGCCTTCAAAGACTTGACCCACCATTTGTACCCATAAATATCGTTGCTTGGTGGTAAACATCAATTTGTCGCGCCAACTTGGCTGGTGATTGGCTGGTCTAGTAGTCCCAGAGGTATACAGTATATGGTTATTACTGGTTCGTGGTTTTAACATGTTTTAACCATCTTGAAAAATATTAGTCAATGGGAAGGATTATCCCATATATATATGGAAAATAAAACATGTTTGAAACCACCAACCAGTTTACTATTGTAAACTTGGGTAGACGAATGTTGACCCCTGGTTCGTTTTGTTGGTGAGGGACCCATATCAATAGCAAATTATCACTTTTGTTGGGAGTACCCGGTTACCCGACTAATTTATCAACCAGGGCATGGACTGCACTATGTCGACTGGAATAAATGATCTGAAACCACAAACCAAAACAACAGACGCGATTCATACGTGACAAACAGTCAAATACTTAATGTATTTGTACTGTTTCATGCATTTATATTGCTTTTTCCTGATGTCTCTCTCTCCCCAAATACACAGACTTGCAATTTTCACAAACACATTTTTGCATATGATCCGTCACAAGCAACAATAACGCTGGCATGTTTACGTTTTCAAATCGGATAAAATGCCAGACCGCACCAAACAAATACGGTCAAAATGGTCAAATATGGTCAAATATGGTCAAAATTGGTCAAATGTTTATTAGTGAATTATATGGTTAATAGTGATGAATAGTGGTGGTACCCAAAAAAAACATATGAGTGGGCTGTTTTATCTGTTTTTTTTTCACATGGGCAGTGGCCATGAAATCCTGGAAGTCCATCGTTGTTCAATGGGAGAAGCTGCTGCAATCTGCTCACGTTCGATGATTTCTTTCCTAAGTTCGACCACAGGCCATGGATGAAATCCCTCTGCCGTCGTTGAATAGATGGGAGGTTTTTGGTTGACAAAAACTTTAAAAAAAAAACAAAACAGATCAGATATTCGGGAAAAAAACGGAAATACCCCAAAATACCAGAAAAAGGAACCAAGAATCATCTCCTTCACATACCTGATGTCCTTCAAGTTGGGTTCATCAATGGTACCACATGGAAAACAATTCTCCAGCACCCATTGCCTTGGTCCGATTCAGGGACTGATTTCGATGGCAGATGCAGGATCCCGAGACAAATCTGGTTGGTGGTTGAGCCCTACCTATTCCATTCCCAACTGTTTCTGGAAAAAGTCATAAAATTCCATGGTTCCAGTCACCACCAACCAGTCAATAAATTCGAATCAAAAGAACAAATATGGGAATCAACATTGCCTGCCATGTTGCACAATGTCCGCATTTTTTAAACACCATTTTTTTGGTGGAAAAATACGAACACTGACCCCGCGGTGAACTACGAACATCAAAATCTGTAGGCCGGAATTGTCTCGAATAAAATGTGACCAATATTTGTGATGTTTCGTAGACATGGGGCACATGAACGCTTGGTGGGTAATTTTGGGGTTCAACCGTTCAACCAATGGCCCTGACCGCATTTCAAGATCACCAGATTTTGCAAATCATCAGCACATTCCGATTGAACAAGGTCACCAGGACTGGCCACCGCACGCGTTGAAGCATTCATGCCAATGTCATGCGTCCGTTTCTTGTGCCGCTGGCCTTCCACATTTTTTCGACCGCTACAAGTAGCTACGGATTAGAGTTCCAGGCTATCCAAACCCCGCTGGAAAGCAAGGAACACGCCACCACATTCAAAGCCGAGGATTTGAGTGCTGTCCTCGGCTGTGGCTGCAAAGCATGGCATAGCATGGCTATGCCTGGAAGAAAAGAAGATGGGCAAAATGAACCATTTGGGTGTGCTGAAAATGGGGGTCCTCCCAAGTAGCAATTCTAAAGAGATACCCTCTGGTTTTGACTAACATAGCCATGGAAAATGGCCCATTTATAGATGGTTTACCTGGGTTTACCTATGAAAAATGGACAAAAATGGTGGATCTTTCCATCCCAAGTAGCAATTCTAAAGAGATAACGATGATAATCCATGCGACTTGGAGGTGCCCTAGTTCCAGACAAGCCCATTGACCAAAAGCCATGACGGATCCTTTTTCGGTGCTGCTATATACGGTGTGCCATGGATCCCATCAATATACCCCAGTCATGTTACCCTCTGGTAAATAAACAGTTGGACCTTGAAAATCACCCATTTTTATAGAGGAAACTAATCTTCCAACCCCGATGACTGCCAGGGTCGTCATGTCAATTTACTGGAGGGTAGCATTAATATACCAGCACCATGGATGCCTATGGGAAACAGATAGTAGCGAAAAATAGTAGTCATCATGAAATAGGCGCGGCGCGCGCAAATCCTAATCGCCAAAGTGAGCGCGCAAAACACCTCCTAGCAGGAAATCAAGCCAATTTATGCCGCAGACTGAGGCAAGCAGGTTTTCTCCAAAAATGCGCTGCGCCCCTGCGCCTCATCTCAGCCAAAGTCACTGCGATGCGCTCCCCAGTGGACAAGCGCCAGAATTCTGCCTCTGCGCCGTTCACCTGCGGTGTGGGTTCCAATAGCTGGGATGGATCATTTTTTTTGCGCGGGAACTTGGCACGGCGTTTTTAGCAGCCGCACGTACCATTTCAGCCCTTAGCCAAGTTCCCGAAAAGCAGCGCCTTGCTTCTCATTGGAGATACTGTGGATGGAAGAAGTCCTGCACCACTTGGTAACTAGTGGTAACTATGAAACCTAGTAAATAGTGGAACTATAGTGGCATAAACAATATACATCAATATAGCATCTATCAACTGGTGTAGGATTTCGCAACCATCCACAGTATGTTCACATATATATATGTTCACCAATAACCCCATAAACTATTAAAGATATCCCATAACTTTGCCACCTGGAACATGCCAGTTAATAAACCAAGATATCAAAGCATAAATCTGGGCAAATCACAATTCACTCACCTGATTTTTGTTGGCTCCGGGAGATTCCCCGAATCCTAACCCTCTGGTAAACATACAAAAAGCTACTGAAAATTTGGCCATTTAGTTCGTTGATTTTCCCATTAAAAATGGTGATTTTCCATAGTTTTATGTAAACATTTACCAGAGGGAAGATGATTTGGAGGTACCCCCATTTCAGGAAACCTCCTAATATGGTCTGTGGCTTTACCAGCTTTACCCCTCAGAAAAGGTCCACGTTGCATCTCTGAGGGTAACCCTAACCTTACCATTCTTCCAGGCTTCGGTTCAGGTTTTTTTTCACACCGTTCATCCCGGGTTTTGGTGGACAAAAATTGGAGACTTCGATCATGGAAAATGGGGAACGTTACCAAAAAACGATGGAAAGATCCACCATATTTCATGGGAAAATCAACTATAACTATGGAAAAGTCAACTCTTTTTTACTGGTTGGTGGTGGTATACCCCTACCCCTCTGAAAAATCATGGAGTGAGTTCGTCAGTTGGGATGAAATGACAGTCTCAATATGATGGGAAAGTCAATCCAAATTCCATGGTTCCATGGTTCCAGTCACCACCAACCAGTCGATAACTCTTTTGTAGATATTAAGATATCCTGAAGCTGAAATGTCACCATATCTCCAAGAAAACGTTCCAATTTAATCTACCCTCTGGTGAACTAACATAGCAATTGAAAATGGCTATTTAGAGTGGATTTTCCCATTAAAAATGGTGATTTTCCATTGCTATGTTAGTTCACCAGAGGGTAATATAATCTATTCCTTGGATCTATCATTGTGAAGAATTGGAACTTTTTTTTGTCTGGAACTATGAATCTATTCCATTAATGGATCCACTAATAATGATATATTCCAATAGACGGTAAACATACAATGTTTCAACATAAATGTGTATGTATATATATAATCATTATGTGTGGATCCAATAGATAATACCATATTGTCCAATAGATATTACCATATTATCCAATAGATATTACCATCCAATAGATATTATTACCATAAATCATATTATATAGGAGTAAGGTAAACAATATGTTATCCCAAGGATATCCCGATAAAACCATGGTTTATCCCATTATATTCCCATTATTTATAGGCTTTCAACATGTTTCAACCATCCTCTTGGTGGTGTTCCATCCACCTGCTACAACGAACGCGCCTTGGCGACGTGTTTAGGGTTCAATGGATCCAGCATCAGGAGCTTTTCCTCAGGAAAAGGCTGGGAATTGAGGGGAACTAACCATCAAAATCCATCCAAAATCCAGCAAAAACCTTCCAAAAATCAATCAAAATCCATCCAAAATCAAGCAAAATCCATCCACAATCCATCGAAATCTATCAGAAATCCATCAAGAATAGATCTGCGGGATTTGTTCATGGCTACGGAATAGTATTTCTTCTGAACTCCATGTTTTTTTTTCATAGAGGATTCGTTCTAATGGGATTCGTCCGCAGTCAATTCCAATTTCTCTCGGTACTACATGATGTGTCAACATCGGTACTACATACCCACACTATAAATGGGGGGGATATCTGGCAATAAATTCCATGATGTCACAGAACTCTGTGACATCATGGACTCTAAATATATCAAAATTAGCGATAGATACCCCCATGCGCCAGGCGCATAGGTTTTTTATGGGTCAGGAGTAAGGTCCAAGTAAGGCCGTCCACAGGATGCATTGGTCATGTTTTCAGAATTCAGCTTGAGTCAGCTTGAGGTTTTGAGGGTTGCCAAACAAGTTTTGGAACAATTTGGGGTTGGATGTTGAGAAGTGATGAGTTTTTCCTCGAAAGGCTTCGTCTGTTCAGGTGTTTCCAGCTATCCTCTGAAACTTTGTGTCGATAGGATCAGATCATTCCGTTTGGATTGACAATCATAAAATATCTGGTTGGTGGTTGAGCCCTACCCCTCTGAAAAATGATGAAGTGAAAGTCAGTTGGGATTATGACATTCCCAAGATATGGAAAAATCAAAGTCATGTTCCAAACCACCAACCGGAATATATATATATATATATTATCATATATCCCATCAAATATCCCTACTATGGTTGGCTATAAATCCCATATATTATGGAAAAATCAAAGTCCATGGTTCCAGTCACCACCAATCAGTTATAGGTCATTAAACATTATCCATCAACCAACCATTACTAACCACTAGAAAAACCACCACGAGAGAAAATGTTCCAAACCATCAACCCGTATATATATATATATAGTCATTATGATTGGATCCAGTAGATATTACCATATTATCCAATAGATATTGCCATAAATCATATAGGAATAAGGTAAACAATATGTTATCCCAAGGATATCCCTATAAAATCATGGTTTATCCCATTATATTCCCATTATAGGTCATACTAACATCCATCTATAGGTCATTAACTAACCACTATAAACCATTACTAACCATTAACCAAACATTTCCAAACCATCAACCAATAGATATTACCTCCAATAAATATCGTGTTCAAACCACCAACCAGATAAGATCTCACACCTCCAACCAGTCTGATTCATGTCGATTGCAACCAGCTCGCACGCAGCTCCGCAAAGCTTTTCCCCTCCACGTCACCGCAATCCTTAGAGCCACAAAGATGAAACCACTAGTCAGAACCAGTTTTTTCTGACTTGTAGATCTTGTAGAACTTGCAACTTGCAGTTTTGTTTTTTTCACTGGTTGGTGGTATACCTACCCCTCTGAAAAATATGAAAGTCAAATGGGATTATTGTTCCCAATATATGGAAAAATATAAAATGTTCCAAACCACCAACCAGTTCAGATGTGTTTTCGGATTTTTTCTGGAGTCTATCTTGGACATTTCCGTTCATTACTTCACACCATTGTGGAGGGCTCATTTGGAATGCTCATGTGCGTCCCAAAAAAAGCTCCACAGCATTGTTCTGTCTACAAGCACCACGTCTATTGCTAGATCCGTGGCCCCCATCGTGGAAGCCTTTTGTACTGGTTAGTTGTGACGATTTCAACCATCCGCAGTGATGAATCCCTGTTGGAGACTGATCACCCACAAGACAACTGGTTGGTGGTTGACCTACCCCTCTGAAAAATATCAGTTCGTCACTTGGGGTTATGACATTCCCAACTGAATGGAAAGTCATAAAAGTATATAAAAGTCCATGGTTCCAGTCACCACCAACCAGACTTAAATGATGTTTCCACGCTTAGGTCTCTCCGTCTTAAGGAGATTGATTCCCCATCTGCGTCAGTTACCCCCATCTGGAGCAGCTCACTGCTGGCGCGGAAGCCGCGCTCTCCAAGCAAGTGGGGCTTGGTCCCTTTCGTCCGTTTCGCAGTTGGCACTTCGATATCTTACCCGGCCTGGTAAACTAACAGTTTGCGAACTTGAAAATGGCCATAGAAATCGTGAGTTTTCCCATGAAAAGCATGGTGGTTTTCCATAGTTATGTGAACGTTTACCAGAGGGTATCACTGGCCACTGGCCATGCAACAGGAACCGATTGATTGGAGGTACCTACTATATGTAAGGCCTATTTTTCAGGCCTAACTTTCAGGGAATATCCCCACAAAATATGGCCAAAAATATGGCACTAACGTACCTCCATTTTAGGATCCTGAAATTCCCATTGATCTTAGATTGCTCCTTCAGCATTTGCTACAAGCTTGTTTCGAAGCTGCGAAAAAACTCACTGCTTGATAGCATGGCTGCAGGATACCCAACTCTGTAAATGCTTGGCGAAATCCCCTTTTTTGTTGAATAAGTATAACTATACCCCATTTATATTGATTTTAGTTTATTTACGTATTCAAAATGGTGAATCTTTCTATAGTTCTGTAAACGTTTTCCAGGCCGGGTGATTTATATATGTAGCAATGTAGCCATAGAGGATGGGCCAATGGTAGATATTTCACCACCTAGTTTTCATGGGGGTTTTCTCATGGTTTATGTTTACCAACAGCAACACATAACTGGGGGACCCCATCTTATACCATTGTATAACTACCATTTTTGTTGCTCAAAACATTTTGTGGCTACCCTCCGGTCGTCAAACGTGGCGTGGCTTGCTTGGAAAATCCATCAGCAATAGTTCCATGATTTTCCCAGCAAACTAAAACTAAAGAATTAAAGCTCAATCTCGTTCCGGAAGTATATAGACAATATATTCCATTCAACATTACATAGCCATGTTTTCCCCATGTTATAAGAAATATAACAAGACATATATCTCTCATGTCGTGTATGTTTCTATGTATACATGTCTATATAATACTAGTGTATTCCATTCCATTCAACATATACATCGCCATAAGAAATGTTTTCTTTGAGATTTTCCAGCCACGACCAGAAGAGAGAGATCCATGAACCAAAGCACTGGATCCATATCTTTCAGCCTCGGAGATTGGGACAAGAAATTTGAGGTACCCTCTGGTAAACATACAAAAAAACTATGAAAAATCACCATTTTTTGTGAGTAAATCCACTATTTCTATGGCCGTTTTCAAGTTCGCAAACTGTAAACGTTTACCAGAAGGTAAATCTCCAGCAACATCTGAAGCTTAAGAGTTTGCTGTGGAAAATGATCAGAGGTAAATCATGGTAAATCATTCCATAGATAGGGCATTTTTTGAATAGTTATGTTAGAAAAAACCAGCGGCTAGTGGAAGAATGTCCTGTTTGCAACGTCTACAATCTCCAAAATCATTGAAGTAAATTGGGAAATTACCAGTCGAAAGTCCTTCACTGTCGTCAAAATGGCCGACTGTCGTGAAATGACTGGATCCAAATGGTAGAACCTTCTCGACTAATGCGAGCTATAAAAATCGGATGTGCGACATAAACAAGGTCCACATCCCATCAGAATTCCCCACCAATCCCTTTGATGAATAATTCATCTTATAGAAATCATGTGAAATCTCGCATAAAGTAGTCCCATAAAATGTTTATAGATCAAGTTCTGGAGTATCCCCTGCAAGTATTTCTTATAGGGAAAACCGGTTGATGAAATCTCCATGGTCCATGTTGGTTCAATGATGTTGCAGACACACTGTGATCACGATGGATCTGTCTGAACATGGGGGTACATTTAATATCCTTTCATTAAAACCCCTGGTATATCAAAAAACTGCCACTTATATAACTTATAGGTCTCCCCCATGTCCAGACACACCCATATCCATCATATTGGTGGTTACCCGGCCTGATAAACGTTTACAGTTTGCGAACTTGAAAATTGCCCAGTCGAAATAGTGGATTGTTCAATTAAAAATGGTGATGTTCCATAGTTTTTTGTATGTTTACCAGGCCGGGTATATCTCCCCTTCTATCCCGATGATATCCCCATGATTCTTGTTTCATCCCCTAAGGGTTTCCCCTAAGTCATGGCAATACCCCAAGCGAGCGAGTGGATTGGATGCGGGCTAAACAATTCGGAAAATCCATCTATAAATGGATTAGAACTGAAAAAAAAAACAATGACTTAGGAAACCTCCATTTACCCGGCCTGGTAAACGTTTACATAACGAACTGGAAAGATCCACCATGTTCTAGCTGGGTGGGTCAACTACTTCGACTCGGCCATTTCCAATAGCTACGTTACGTTAGTCATTACCAGAGGGTATGATCCATTATATCCCCAAACAAAATCCCGAAAAAAACCCTATAAATCCCCAGAAATCCCCATTATATCCCTTATAAATCCCACATATTCAGATTTAGCCACATATTACCAGTGGGTTTATAAGGCATCTGCCGGCGGATCTTTTCGGCGACTTCGCCACCAACGGATCCACGGTTTCTGGTGGCAAAAACCCATGGATGATCCATGGGATCATCCACAAAGCGGGGACTGAAAAAAAAACATCCGTGGATGAATGTTGGTTGAGATATGTTGGTTAATATGTGGTTAATTTACTGTTCATATTCTGGTTAACATCTGGTTAATATTAATGGTTATTATATGGTTAATGATGGTTAATAATATTCTGGTTGGTGGTTGAGCCCTACCCCGCTGAAAAATGATGGACTTCGTCAGTTGGGATTATGAGATTCCCAATATATGGAAAAGTACAAGATGTTCTAAACCACCACCAACCAGTATTAGATGTTATTAGCCAGATATAGCTAGATACTTTGTACATCTGTAATCTGGCTAAGTAATATGGTGTTATCCAATACTGTGCTCTTATGTTATAATTATAGTGTTATTAGATGTTATCATCCCACTTTAACATACCTTAACATACCTTTAACATACCTTTAACCAAACAGCACAGTGGGATGATTCTCCCTCTCGACTTCCCACGGTGCCGTCCAAGTCGTCCAAGTCGCAGCTTCTTCAACGGCGCCACCCGTTGCTCCTCTGGCAGCGCGGGCACCGCTTTGGCGCCTTCCTTCGCCACATCCGAAACCACCACCACAATGGTGTCGGTGTAAGGGACCCACATGTAGCCTGCACTGGGACGGACCACGTTAGGTTAGGTTTAAAAAAAAACACTGAGATCTGGAAAATGCGAAAACTGCGTGGAACCAGTGAAAATACTGCATGTGAAGATCACACATGAAAATCAAAACTGATATGCACATGTGAAGTTCTTCGGATGGCTAACACATGTGAAGCCTTTTATCACACCCTTGAAAACAACCGTGGAACAAAAAAAAGACCTTGTTTGGGTTCCGCGTTCATTTTCAACCGGGATTGTCCCATGGTTGACTAGTGATGGAGTTGATAAAAAGGCCAATATCATCATGGTCTTGATAAGGCTGTATCACCGTTACATCATACCTAAATCAAGCCCAATATTCTTAGGACTATTGACTATATAATCATATATCATACCATGTGTATGTATGTATATATATATAGAGAGAGAGAGTGAGAGAGATAGAGATATGTCTATATATCGCATGTTATGCAGGTTGGTAGCTTGAACAATCGAAAACTTAGCAGTGCTCCGTTCATTCTCTCGCAATTCTTAGATATGAAACCTGTGTGGCTCTAAGCTGAATGGATCACGATGGAGAAGCGGAGAATCCCCATGGAAAAAAAAGGCAAAAATCTGCAAAAGCACCAGGAAATACACTGACATCCCCATGGAAAGTAACCAGCTATGTATACATCATAATATATACATATACATATCATATATAATCATATATATATACATATATATATATATGATATGTACAGTACAAATTTATATAAATGCAACATCCCAAAATAGTTGATGGTCTGATCCAAAAAACACTTCCCATTCCAATTTCGGCAAGTTTCGCACATGTCGGTAGCTCTGCAGGAGCTGCTTGTGATTCTTTTCCAACTCCTCATAGCTACAACAGAAGGTTCGCTCATGCAGGACGTATCTGGGGATCACCTCGACGGGTGCGCTGCGGCGAGTACATTCACCAAAAACATGGGATCGGAGCAAGCCGACCCAACTGAAAAAAAGTAGGGGGTTGGGTTGGGCAAACGAAGGATACTTGACCTTGATGTCCAGTATACTAAGATACCTCTCCAGGTTAGGTTTGATGGCGTTGTCCTACTCAACCTCTTCGCAAAGGCTGGGTATTCAAACTGAAACCAACTCTGGCGAACTGTGCCCTTGCAGAACTTGGATATCAGTCAGCATTTTTGGAAGCACATATCCATTTTGATGGGCTGCCTCTAACCATGCAAGGTGCGGCCCCGGAGTTATGTCATATTTGTTGCTTTATAAACCCATCCAACTATAGATATATGTATAATATATAATATATATAGTATATTATATATATATTATAACAAAATAAAACATAATATAATATGTCATGATATATCCCCTAACCAACACTGGTGAACCTTGTGAGAATCATCAGAATCAAGCTAGCTGCAGCATGCTGTATGGGGCACAAACTGAAATGCAATTGCTGACAATGATGATTGCTGGTTATTGTCCTATTCACACTGGATGTAGATATGATGAGATATGGATGAAACCAGATGAAAATAGATCAAAATCGATGCACTTATCCACATAAAAATGGCTCAAGGTCAAGTTATAGGGTACCCCAATCATTAGATGCTTCATACTACCCTCCAGTAACCTAACATAACTATGAAAAATCACCATTTTTATGGGAACTATAAATGGCAATTTTCAAGTTCGCAAACTGTTAGTTTACCAGGCCGGGTAAACATTAATCCATTTCAATCTGTGCCCAGGCCGCCTTTAACCCGGCGGCGCCTTGAGAGTCATCTCCTGCACTACAGCCAATGCTCCCAAGCCCACTCGCATCCAGGGGAATAGGGCATCGCCTTCCGAGACCTTCATGACACCTGGCGACGAAAAACCGATGGCCTGAAAAATGGAGTGATTGTTGGTGGTTTTAACCATCTTGAAAAATATTAGTCAATGGGAAGGATGACATCCCATATATTATGGGAAAATAAAAAAAATGTTCCAAACCACCAACCAGCCCATGATATTAGCTGTCAAAAATGAAGATTTCACTGATCTAGATCATTCTAGATCCAAAAATGATTGTGGGATAAAATTGAAAGCCCCATCTGTCGTTCCCCGGGATTCTTTGTTAGGGCCTTTGTCTCCTAAAGGTTGACTTATTCCCAAAATGGCAATTTCATTTGGGAAAGCATAGGAAAGCGATGATTTTCACAAAATGATTTTGGGGGGTAGCCCATTTTTTGGGCAAAGAAACCTGGTTTGGAAGGAGGCCAACCTGGAAAGGTAGAGGAGTTGGGGCTATCTTATCCTGCTTCCTGGCAACAACTCATCAGATTCGATCTTATTTCATCAGGTTTCCAGATTTTGGTAGGACTCGACTGAATAATTAAATGCATCTAAATGATGAGTGAACAATGGGAAAGGTAGCTCAACTGTGGCGAAAACTCGCCGATGTTCTCCATGTTTTTTTCGCTACCCCGTTCCACTCAAGGGTTGAATCCCCACATGATCTCGCGGAACCTTTTGATGGTTACAAAAACCTACAAAAATCCAAATCAATCCCCACATTTACTGTTTCAATCCCAGTTTTTTTTCTGGTTTAGCTGGTTGAGTCCCAAATTGGTCAAATCCTTCAAGAATCCCTAGGGTCTTCTTCCTGTCATCTCTATTTTTTAGGGTTACCATCGTACCATCTGGTTATGACTAACATAGCCATGGAAAATCACCATTTTAATAGGTAAACCATCTATAAATGGGCCATGTTCCATGGCTATGTTAAATAACCAGAGTGTAAATCTCCATAAAATTGCGGTTTCATCAAGAATCCCAGCCATCGCCACTGCACCTTTGGAAGGGCTCACTACCGTCATGGAGAGAATCATCTCCTGTCCCGAAAGCTGCCGCTTCACGGAGGCTTTCGGATCATCACCAACAAAAACATAGCTATTGAAAATACACCATTTATAGTTGATTTAATGGTGGTTTAATGGATTTAGCTGGATTTACTGGTAATTTAATGGGATTTACCCTCTGGTTATTTAATATAGCCATAGAAAATGGCCCATTGATAGTTGATCTACCCATTCAAAATACTGATTTTCTATAGTTATGTTAGTTTACCACAGGGTAATTTACATGTAGCAATGTAGCTATACAGGATGGGGCCCCCAGTCGATAGCTTACTCAGTTGCCGAACAGAAAAGTGGCTGAATTCCATGTTTTATGGTAGATATAATGAACTAGTTTTCATGGGGGTTATAATGGTTTATAGACCAACATTCACATAACTGGGGGGCCCCATCCTGTAATGATAATAAGGATATCTTCATAAGTTCCAACAAGATGTTCTTACTTTTTTTTTCTTCAATGAATATAGTGATATATCTTAGTCAAGATCATGTTTTTTTCTGCTCACAATCGTGATGTTTTTAGCTCAATGATGTATCAACATGATAGAAACCGATGGATATCATCATTGGTTTGCTGATCCCACAGGACTTCAACTGGAACTCTGGTTGATTAAGGCCCATGCGCCCAAGCGATTCTTTGGTTCCATGGTTCCAAGGTTTTGGATGCCCATCCCACTCGGTAGGCGCTTTAATATGCACTTTATGATCAAAAAAACTCTTCCAACTGAGCTTACTCATAAGGGGATTATTGTTGCTACAAACCAGCTGGCTGGGACAGAACTTTGGCTGCAGGATACCCTCAAAATCTCAACTCCCGATTTTGAGGCTCTTTTTGTTACTTGGAGCCACATATTTCTTTATCACTTGTACCCTCTGGTCAACGTTTACATAACGAACTGGAAAGATCCACCATTTTTTCATAGGTAAACCATCTATTTCGATTAGGGCCATGGCTTCCATAAAATCACCGACCACGACACAAGAGAGTGTGGGATGGTCTTCCAACAAGTCACGTCCACGGGTGGAATTCGAGCACCAGTTCCATGCGCACTAACCTGTGTCCAGCCAGCAATCTGTTGCTCCTCAGGTGAAAATCATGTGGAACAGAGGAAAATCGCGTTGATAGATGTTTATGTATGTTTATATGTGTTTACACATGTTTATATATGTTTATATATGTTTACATGTGATAATATGTATGTGTATATCTGGAAAATTGTAATAACTCCCTAAACTGAATTACAGTAAGGCCATTTATGCATCATTTTAGTGAGGTTGCAGTGGTCGTTATACTCTACCCAGATATGATGTATGAAACATCATGGTTGTACCCTCTGGTCATCAAAAGTGGCAATGAAAAATCCACCATGTATATTTTGGGGTGAATTTCCAGTTGTCGTGTTTGATTACCGTCATATGATGGTTATTGTGCAATGTTTGTAATGGTCACAATATATTGTCGTATGATGGTATCTAATATGTTGGTATGTAATATGGTATGTAATATCATGGTTATAATATGGTTGTATCATGTTGTATATCTAATTCCATGATCATCATACTTCGCTAACAATATCGATGGAGGATTGTCGATGTTCCTTGCCCTTTTAGTGGCAATCCAAGCACAACGAATCGCAATGATCCAATGTCCAAAAAGGCACCTTTGATAAATTTCCGAGAGGCTTCAGATTTCATCAACATGTACCCTCTGGTTATTTAACATAGCCATGGTATAGATAGCCCATTTATAGATGGTTTACCTGGGTTTACCTATTTAAAATGGTGATTTTCCATGGCTATGTTAAATAACCAGATGCTATCAACACCTGAGTGAATCATGTTCTACAAAAACCTGCTTCCTTGGGGCCCGAAAGCGGCTTTCTTCGCATCAAGCTTCAGTGATCGAGCTGAAATTTTCCAAGGTCAAGCCCTGTTTCTGTAACTCCTCCAGAATTTGAGAGACCCGAGCACCTGCTTGCACTGTGATGGTACCCTTCTGCTTGTCGATACCTCACGGCTGGCTGGAAACAAGCCTAACCGCTGAAGAAAGCCTGAGTCATTGCCATATATCACATATAGATACATATAATGCCATTTCCTAAGGGCCTACCTGCGCCCCGAAAAAGCATATTCTAGCTGCCTAGCGATTTTGTGTATGTGTGCTTTTTTCTTCAGCTCCTTTTTAAAAGCGAGAGATGTCCATCATTTCCATCTCCCCATATCAATGGCCATGCAACAGGAACCTAACTTGGAGGTACCTACCATATTGATCAGGCCATGTCAGGCCTATGTTTCAGGCCTATATCCCCACAATTCATATGGTACCCAAAAAAATATGGTACGTGTACGTACCAAAAAAAATACGCTCTGGTAAACGTTTACATAACTATGGAAAGATCCACCATTTTCAATGGGTAAATCCACTATTTCGACTGGGCCATGGCTTCAAGTTCGCAAACTGAAATCGTCATTACCAGAGGGTAGGATCCAACCCATCCCATCCCCATGTCCCCATATCCCCATGTCCTGCCTTTGATCTGGTCAAGTTCAGTCATGGACAGCATCCCAGCCTCTTGCAGAGCCAGTCCATTGGGCGACAAATTCATCCCCACCGGTCGGATCTGGCGCAGCGATGCGCGGCAGCGGTGAAGCGGAGGATATCGTTGGGGGTCAGGAGCTCAGCCAATGAACATGTGATATCCCCGAAGTATGGATGTTTTTAGCTACCTACCATCTGGTTATGTAACATAGCCATGGAAAATCCCTGATAAATGGAGGTTGATGTCGCTGGGAAAATCATCTATAAATGGACCATGTTCCATGGCTATGTTAAATAACCAGAGGGTAACTATGGATGTTTTGGGCTATAACAGTGACCTAGTACCTCATTACTATTCACTATATCCCCTAGTTCACCAGCTACATTGTGTTGATGGGTGGCAACTACAGTTAACCAGCTACAAATTACATAATCTTAACTATAGTCATATCCTCTATAATGTTAACCCAGGAACAACAAAACCCTAGTTTCCTATTTGGTGGGTTCCCAAAATAGTGATAGTTCCCTTTACAAATGGTACCTGCCAATTAGACCAATTAGTAAACTAGGGGTTCATTGGTCCTGGGTTGCTATTAGATGGTTCCCCATGGTTATAACATGGATGGTATTAGCTATGGACTACACCCCATGACTATTAACCGATAATTCATTAGTAACTATTATCATTATTATTCAGTGTATAAACATGGATGACTTCAATCGTTAACCACTAAATTATTAACCAAGAACTATGAAGTTTTACTTACTACAACCACTAACATCTGTGAACTATCAATATTTAAATTCGAACTACAACTACCAGATTATGATTAATATTAAGCTATAAAATCAGGTCAACTATGAATATTTAAATCACTATAAGATCCCATTAAATCACTACTTAACTATTCTTAACCATCAACATGGTGAACTCACATGCCCCAGCACCGCATCCCGTCCCAGTTTCGCCAGCAGTTTCGCCTTCTGTTTTGCCTCGCTGGCCCAGCGCAAGAGCCGCTGCAGCTGGTCTTCGTTCTCCGGAAGAAAGAGCTGTCCTGGGAAGGTCACGAGGCCCGGCAGATGGTCTATGCTGACTCAATATTGTATGTGTATATCTAATTATATATATATATATACATATGTATAGGGGATGTATATATATATATGTATATATATGTTGGAGATATATATATATATTGTTGGATATATTGAAATATATGAGCATAAGATAGTGTATCTTTCTTGAATCCAATCAATTTAGAAGCCGGAGGATGCAAATATGATTGAACGAACCATTTGATGAGGATGCAAATATGATGTAAAGATATATACATACATCATACAAAGGGGATATCATGGCCAAGCTTGAGTTTGGAATTCCAATAAAATCTAACAACCCATGGTATGGTTTTGCAGTTTTATTACGAAAAGAACCATCCCAAAATGGGCTCAACTTGTGTCAAAGTGATGGCAGAAAATCATATCTACCCCTCGATTTCTCAGCTGTGACTCCCAGGACAAAGGCAACTTGCATGTTGGTTTTTCAGCTGGGTCAAGTTGGGGACCCTTCAACCGCTGAATCAACTGATGCCGGCCACGAGAAGCAAGAGAAGAACCTACCAAAAAAAAGGGGATAGAGAACAGCATGATGAGGCAAAAAGAAAGGGGCCCCCCTTTGCCCGGTTCTTTATAAATCCAAAATAAATACCAAAAAGAAACAAAAATATCAATCTACCATGTTTACATCATTTTACATCCATAGTTACCATAAATTGTGAAATTGGAGTTATGAACCCACAAACTGATTGAACGCTATCATAACTTGGGGGCACCAGTTGGATCCATAGGGATCCCAAGACCTCGACAGGAGGTCGTATCATATCAAATCATCCCAAAGTTCGGCGTACTCACCAGGGTCAAATACAGACATAGCTATTTGGTGATGGTAAAATAGTGGTTGAATGGTGATTTAATGGGATTTACTGGTGATTTAATGGTGATTTAATGGGATTTACTGGTGATTTAATGGTGATTTAATGGGATTTACTGGTGATTTAATGGTGATTTAATGGGATTTACTGGTGATTTAATGGGATCTACCCTCTGGTAAACAAACAGTTTGCGAACTTGAAGCCATGGCCCAGTCGAAATAGTGAGTTTTCCCATGCAAAATGGTGGATCTTTCCATAGTTATGTGAACGTTTACCAGAGGGTACATTTTAAAAAAAAATGTGGGAAAAGTATAACTGGTTGGTGGTTGAGCCCTACCCCTCTGAAAAATCATGGGCTTCGTTAGTTGGGATGATTATTCCATTCCGATATGGAAAGTCAATCCAAATTCCATGGTTCCAGTCACCACCAACCAGATAAAATCCCACTAAAATATCATGATGAATTGAACCTGTTCTATCTCTCTGGGGGTTACCCACTAGTAGATATTTTAATATAATTATATACCTCGTGGCTATGTGTCGAAACCTTGGAACCCCCAGGTACCCGAAGTCATAGCTGGTCAGTGGATGTGTATTCCCCAAAAAAAAGGTCGATAGGTTGTTTTGGAAGACCCGTTTACTGGTTGGTGGTTGAGCCCTCCCGTACCCCTCTGAAAAATCATGGAGTTCGTCAATTTGGATCATTATTCCCAATATATGGAGAAAAAAAATGTTCCAAACCACCTACCAGTATATCATGAATTCAACCATTCTGATTACGTTCCCTGTTGAATACGATCCCGGTTAAAAATTCTTTGAAACCACCAACCAGCTATGTGACAGCTGATGAAATCAGCAAAATGTCCCTCTTTGTGGCACCGTGAGTCACCACCTTTCACCTGTCACCGGGACCACCTGTCACCACCTGGACCAAGCAGCGCGCAGTGACCCCTTGGGTGCCGCTCCAATTCACCATGTCCACCGATTTCCTCCGCCGAGTCGTGGGAGAATGTGAATTCCACAGTCATCAACCAATCATACAATGTGGTGCCTCCCAGTTATAAGTTGGTTTTTATAAGCCCCAGTAACTATAGTTATAAGTACCATAAACCATAGTTATTGGAGTTATAAACCAACTTAGCTATCTTGGGGACCTCACGTTGTAGTTGGTTTTTTTTGATGAAACATGGGTTATGAATGGAATTATTGGTGAAATGGTTATAGTTTTTTCCGTAGTGGGGATATAGTGAAACGAATCATAACCAACAAAAATATATATTTCATAGTGGTATAATGGGTACTATAAGTGGTATAATGACATATTAGACTCCCATTATAACCATCATGTCCCCACTATGAAAATAATCCAGTCATATAATGGAACTAATGAAACATGGCGGCATAAACCAACAAAAATGGGAATTGTTCATGGGAGTATAATGGGACCGATGATATCAATAGATGAATTATAATATAATGTCAACCCAGGCAAATCAGGTATAATGTCAAATGAATTAATCAGGTATAATGTCCCATGGTGTACTATTAATGTCAAATGGTAAATTAGGTATCAGGATTTGATTTATAAACCGAGTTAATCCAATTTAATTGGGGGTGTACCATAAAAAGGTATCAGATGAAATGACTATTCTAGGAGTACCCCCTAATAGACCATGGTTTCGTAAAATCCGGAGTTGACATTATATGGGATATAATCATGGTACACGGTGGTTTTTCCATACTTCAGTCCCAGAGAAACAGTTTTGGCAAATCTGGTGCTGAACATAACTAGGTAAACTCTGGTTATGCTTGATATATCTATACGTAGTTCATGCGGATTAGATTCACCAACTTCTCAATGGGGGGACCACCTTGCAGGACCCTGCTTGTTGGTATGTAGATGTATGTAATTGTGTATACTGCACATATATATATACTGGTTGGTGGTGCAATAACCATCTTGAAAAATATGAGTTCGTCAATGGTAAGAATTATCCCATATATTGTGGAAAATAAAAAATGTTCCAAACCACCAACCAGTAATTGTATATACTGTATATAATATATATATAGAGAGATATACATACAATAAATAATGCACCTTGGATCACCTTGGTATCAACAAAATAGGTCCACAGATATCCAATGGTACCCTGCTTTGTTGGTCTGTTGGACCCAGGTTTTCAGTAAGTCCTCCAGCTGGGATTTTTTTTTGTTTGAAACGAAACATTTGCGAATAAGAAAAAAATAAATTAAAAAAAAACGTTAGGATTTGTGCATGTCTTTCTTGGGGGTTGGGTTGTGAGGGCCCCAGTGGATAGCAAATCCAAGCCCATTATATATATATATATATATATTATATATATATATATACGTATATATATATACAGATATACATATAAATACATATAAAGATGCATATTATATATACATATATATATATGTTTATATTCATATTTATGAAAACCAACTCTGTGGACAAGAAATCCTACAAGTCAGATACCTGACAACAAAACGCCAGATCAAAGGCGGTTTTCAATCCTCGTCTTTGTTGGTTGAAAATCACCTTGTTTTGCCAATGGTCTACTGGTGATTTACTGGTGATTTAATGGTGGTTTAATGGTGGTTTAATGGGATTTACCCTCTGGTTATGACTTACATTGCCATGGAAAATGGCTCATAGAAATAGATGGTGTACCTATTAAACATGGTGATTTTCTATAGCTACGTTAAATAACCAGAGGGTATTGAACGATCACCATTTTTGTTGCTTGAGATATGTTGAGATCCCTAAATTCTTTAAATCATCCAGTCCTCATGAATGAGCATGAATTCGTAGCCATAGTTTTGTTGGGGATCCCCCATGACTCCCATGCAATAATGTCCTTTTGGTGAAAATAGAGGGGCCGGTTTGGTATACGGTATACGGTATACTACCTGTTAAAGGGGTTTCTTCAAACCCCTCTTTTTTCATCAACCAACCAATGGGAAAAGGACATCTATGCTCCCATGACTTAAGAAAAGCTTCAAGCCTCAGATCTGAACCGAGCCACTCCATAGAGACATCTGAGGGTGGCGTCAGCCCTGGCGTTGGAGAGATGTCATGAAGAAACATACCATGACTGGGAATGGTTTATACCACCTATAAAAATGGTGATGACTTGGGAATGGTTGAGTATTGGGTTTACCAACGGATGGTTCCTATCATCCGAGCGAACTTAAAAAACTATCAAAGTTGTAGATATGCAGTGGTTTCCCCATCAAATTGTGTTACGCTCCCATGAAACATGGGGCTTTCATGTTTCGCATTCATCACCACCTTGGATCTCATCAAGACAGGATGCCCCCAGTCGAGCGAAGCAGTTGCAGTTGCCCTAGAAAAGTGGCTGAAAAAAACCATGGTATTATGGTAGATATTTCACGAACTAGTTAGTTTTCATGATGGTTTTCTCATGGTTTATGTTTACCAACATTCACATAACTGGGGGGCCCCATCCTGTAAGGATGGATAAAGAGATAAGTAGAGATATTAATATGGAATGATCATTTTTTGCCACTACTGTGGCTGGCCGCCGTTTAAGAGATCCACATTTTTCCCCCTTGTGTTGTCAGGAGTTAACCAGCAAATTTGTAGAAGTAAAATGATCGTAGTAGTAGTAGTCAGTAGTAGTAGTAGTAGTAGCAGTAGCAGTAGCAGTAGCAGTAGTAGTAGTAGTAGTAGTAGTGGTGGTAGTAGTAGTAGTAGTCAGTAAGTCAGTAGTCAAAGTAGTAAGTCGCAAGTAGTAAGTCGCAAGTAGTAAGTCGCAGTAGTAGTAGTAGGTAGGTAGTAGTAGGTAGGTAGGTAGGTAGGTAGGTAGGTAGGTAGGTAGTAGGTAGGTAGGTAGGTAGGTAGGTAGGTAGGTAGGTAGGTAGGTAGGTAGGTAGGTAGGTAGGTAGGTAGGTAGGTAGGTAGTAGTAGTAGTAGATAGTAGGTAGTAGGTAGTAGGTAGAACGTAGAGAGTAAAAAGTAGTAAGTAGTAAGTCAGTAAGTCAGTAAGTCGTAAGTAGTAAAAGTAGTAGCGCGCGCGCTCGCCTCGCGGAAATCCGGGGCATAAATTCCCGGAAGTAGTTTTATTATCAATTTTGCCGTCTACATTTGGCTAAAACCGCGCGCGCTATCGGCCAATTAATAGCGCTAGCGCGCGCGCGCGCCTCGCGGAAATTCGGGGCATAAATTCCCGGAAGTAGCGTTTTGCCTTAAAACGGGTCTACTTTTGGCTAAGACCGCGCGCGCTATCGACCAATTAATAGCGCTAGCGCGCGCGCGCCTCGCGGAAATTCGGGGCATAAATTCCCGGAAGTAGCGTTTTGCCTTATAACGGGTCTACTTTTGGCTAAGACCGCGCGCGCTATCGACCAATTAATAGCGCTAGCGCGCGCGCGCCTCGCGGAAATTCGGGGCATAAATTCCCGGAAGTAGCGTTTTGCCTTATAACGGGTCTACTTTTGGCTAAGACCGCGCGCGCTATCGGCCAATTAATAGCGCTAGTGCGCGCGCGCGCGCGCCTCGCGGAAATTCGGGGCATAAATTCCCGAAAGTAGCGTTTTGCCTTATAACGGGTCTACTTTTGGCTAAGACCGCGCGCGCTATCGGCCAGTTAATAGCGCTAGCGCGCGCGCGCCTCGCGGAAATTCGGGGCATAAATTCCCGGAAGTAGCGTTTTGCCTTATAACGGGTCTACTTTTGGCTAAGACCGCGCGCGCTACTTTGGTGCCAAGTTTAGTTTATAAGTGGGTTATATAACCTAGGGTTATATCCCAGTTACTAAGTCATAACTTCTTAGCTAACTTTTTGTAACTTGTTTTTTGCTATAAAAAAAAAGTGTCTTTAAAAGTGATCAAATTTTGATCTTTTTGATGATTTTGAGTGTTTGCTGTTTGAAGCGTTTTCAACTGCTCAAAAAAATGCCAAATGGAGCGGTTTTCAAACCTCTAAAAACTATTTTTGTTGGAACAGCCGTTTTCAGCATGTCAAACACTATAATTAATCACGTGTTAAAACCCAAACTGTGAATGAAGATGTGTTCATGTCCACTAGAGAGGATGTATTGCTTGAAGAAGTGTCCAGGTGTTCACTTTACCTTGGCTAAATGCTGCAGAGTCCCTTTGACAAAACTCAATTTTTGCAGGATATCCTAGATGTCTTCAACGTAATTACAATATACATCAACATACCCATACCTGCCAACAAATGCATGCAGTATTCAAAACAGAAATGCAGCATACCCTTCTTCATAAGTGCAATCTTCCTTTGGAGCAACGCAGTGTGTTTTTGCAGAACAATATCCCTATGAAATATCAAATGTTCCTTTAAAGGATACACCATGCCCTTTGGAGGAGTACAGTGTGCATTTAACAAAATTTCCTTTGAAAGGGGTCCTCAAGGTGAAAGGGGTCCTGGCCTAGAAGCCTCCAAGATTAATTTCGACCGAGTTTTTGCCTTTGTATGAAAAACTCGGTCGAAATTAATCTTGGGGGCTTCGCGCGCATAAGGAACATTCTTGGCCAGGACCTCTTTCACCTTGGGGGCCCGTTTCAAAGGAAATCTTGTTATTTCCACATGTCTAACCTTCCTTTCAAAGGAGCAGTATCTCTTTTAGAAAAGCCAATATTGCTGCACAATATGCTGTATTTTTGACATAGAGCATCCCTTTCAAAAGTGCAATATGTTTTGAAATGTGAGATTTTTTCAGAATGTTTTTTCGCTCCTTACGACAGAGCATTGTCCTTTATGGCAACACAATCTTCCTTTGAAAAAGCAGCATTCGTGGAAACCTGGATTACTGTTCATTGATATATGTATCTAATCTACTCTAATCTAATCCAAGTCAATCCAATCCAATCCAATCCAGAGATATCTCATCTATATAATCCAATCCAATCAAACCCAAACAAATCCAATCCAATCCAGTCCAATCCAATCCAATCATATCCAATCCAATCCAATCTA